CGGCTACAGATTCCCAAGCTGTTTCGCTTCATATCGAACCAACGCTCATGACAACGAAGGCAACTATGCATCTCATCGTCATTCAGAGCAGTATGGAACTCCCACACAAGGGCCTGATCTTCCTCACCAAGGGCAGGCAAGTTAAGGTCCCCGGTAAAAGGCGGATCAATACTCTGATCAAACTGTCGCTCTTGCGGCTGTGTGCCTTGACGTGTATAATGGCCGCGGCGATGACCCTGTAGCAAGAATGAAGGAGTGGTAGGAAGCGGTTCCTGTGGTATAGGAGTGCCTTGCACAACAGGAGCTGTAGGAGGAGTGTCTTGAATCGGTGTGCCCAGAACTACTGTTGGCAGGCTAAGGGTAGGAAGGATAGGGGAAGGTCCCTCTATAGCACTTGGGGTAGATGGCCCCAGCGGAGGTCTAGGCAGTATCAGTGCAGGAGCCAGGCCACGAAATAAAGCAGGCGTGGCAGGACGTTGTAGGCCGTTCACAGGCGCAGGCGTTGGCGCAGTCCGCCTTGGAGGCGTCAGGTTAGCTAGCGAATCCGTCCTCTTCGTCACTCTGCGTAGCGATGGCCTCGAGGCGATATTCCGCATTGCGGCAACGGCGACTCGCGATTCGGTTACCTGTTCCTTTCGGCGTGCCCTACAGCTAGCGCACTGACCTGTAAACTTCGTAGGGTCCTTGACGCTTCGAAATTCGACTTCGGGCTGGTCTTGCTTGCAGGTACGGCAGTTGCGGACTGCCTGGGGTATATCGTTCTCCATCTGACCGTATATATATCCACCTCTTACCCACCTAGACTGCTAGATATTGGTCGGGTAGGGAGGCTTTGCGAGGACTTACGTGGCTGCGCAACACACACCCGCAGGCGGTGCTAGCAGCTCACAAAACCGCCTCAAACATGCGCAAGGGTGTTGTCTGGCAGCCCAGATGTCCAATGCCGTGATGGATCTCGGTGGGGAGGTTGTCCTTGAGGTAGTTAGATCAAGTCTCAATGATTAGGGGGGAAACTGCACTGCTTGCCCGGAGACAGGGTAACCGGGGAATCTTGATAGCTAGGTCGGCCGCGGAGTGATATGTGAACCTAGATTTCGTCGCAAAATGGAAGTAGAAGCGTGCTTGAAACCAACAAATTGATTGCATTGAAAAGAAGAACTGAAAAGCTCTCCGGAAAGCTGGCTAGCTCGTTACCTAGTCAACGCTCAGGGGTTTGCGGGCTTTGCGGCAGGCCTTCATTTAGTAGCGTTATCAACCAACCACTCCCCGCACGAGTTGAGTACAGGGGAGGACCAATTAGCCAATCAGAAGAGGTTTTATGCCCTTCTTTCTGACTGAATAAACGCCCTTCGGGCTGAATAAAGAAGGGTGATTTCACCATCTGACGTCAGCTGTCGATCTGCCTTTCCCCATCACAAGAAAGGTCTTTGGTCTTCACGCGAGTCGCGTGTTGTGGAAGTGTCTATATACATACCTCATTATTATGGACTCGCATGGTACGAAAGCCCTTTTGAGTAATATCAAGAACTGTACAGACAGCCTTGGCCAAGCGAGCCGTGAACGATATGGCGCTTCGTCGGACGAACGACCTGCGCGTATGACAGCATACGTGGCCATGTTGTGCGAATTTGAAAATACGCCCCTCAAATACAACATCGCTGCGAGCGCGCTCTCGTGGCTGCTCCTTGCCGGCTACCTTGTCTTCCCGTCCACATTCGCCTCGCTCCGTAAGTCTTCAGTACTTGAAAAGGCGGGCGCCATCGGTCATTCGGTGGACAGTCTGGCGCGCGATGTGCCACTCACCGTCTTTGCTTCGCTCTTTTGCCTGTCCTCAACGATTGGGCTGCTATGGCTCTGGTGGAAGCTTCAGACAAATTACATTTGGGTCCAGCGACGCATCCTTCTGTAAGTCTAGAGTCATAAATAGCTTGATTTCAACTGAGGAGTTGCCTCTGATATCGCCCTTCCTCAATGTAGACCCATCCTGATGAACTCAGCTATGGACTCAGAATACGTGTCATATGGTTAAGGACCAACTTACAGGTCAAGTAGTTCTTTTTCATCGTCTCCGCGCACAAACTTTTGTCGATTTTCGATTCGAAGAAACAGTCCACGTCCCAACCGGTCCAATAAAGCGAGTAGAAGTAGGTATTTGCTCCATTCCAGTACTGTTTAAGGAAGCTAGGGTTCTTGGAGCTGAGAGGATCCCTCTCCTCCTGACAGAAAATACTAGCTAAGCGACCCTGCTCATAAGGGTCAACCTTTCCGCCTTTCTTTGAAGCTTTCTGTGCGATGCACAAAGGGCCTGACTCAAAGTCCGACGTGGGTTTAGACGCTGTTGACGATGTGGCCGAGATGCGGTTCGTGCTTCCACAAATCCTTGGAGGCTGCTCAGTATGGATGGTTTCGGACAGCACCGGAGAAGGCGTTAAAATGACTTTTGCACTCGCAAGTGACACTTTAACAGGCCCAGACTCAGGCTCGCTGGCTACTGTCACAGTCCGATTGGTTTCGATGTCTTTACTATTCGCTGTTGTCCTCAACGTCGAATTTTTGGAGCAAGCAGTCGACGATTGGTCTAGACGACGCGAGGAGGTCGAAAATGGCCCCATAGTTTCAGTACGTAACGTACTTTTGGCCCGTGTGTTAAGTGTCGTTGACGGCAACATTTCGAGATATGCCCTGCAACTAGTCGCGCTGCCTCCTGTGATTGCCTCTATGTTCCACGTCGCCGGTGGAAGGAGCGAAGAAACATAGGGAATCGTAACTGTTTGACCAGGAACGATCAAGCTTAACCGCTTTCCATCATTAAGCTTTGATATGCCCTCCACAGCAACACCGAGATGCTCTGCTGCATCGATCGCATACTGATATTTTTGGACTATCCACAAGCCCTCGCGCTCAGGTTTACACGCACTTACCACAGCGGCGCTGCCAAAAAGTAAAGATAGAATCATTTTGAAGAGCAAATGTACTACGAAGGTGGAGAGATTTGCGAACTCATCGTGCTTTTATAAATGCGTATACCAGCGGGCAGGATAGTTCGTGTTTGGATCAGTGCGGAGGCCGTTTGCGGAGGCGACAACTTGGCACTTCCCAGTAGTCTACGGCGTTCCAAGCACGCGAATACGGTACCTATTGAGCCTTAGTTTAGAGTTACTGCAGCAATTATACATACCAGCCAATTCGAGGGCCAAATATTGAGCACCGACAGCGTTTCATATTAGCTTAAGGCGGCAGCTGTTTCTGTCTTCAAACCACCTTGATAGTGTGAATGCAATAGAGTCACCCCGCGGCTCGCTTGAACCTTGACAAGGAATCAGCTCAAAGTAGCGGCACGTCCAAGCGTAATGGCCGGCAGCGTATCCATGGCTGAGCCAGAAGCGGTGGACATGACGGAATCAATCCTTCAGAAGGCCATTGAGGCATTCGACCACGTGATTTAGAAGATTGAAGAGGTACGGGTGCTTCTCATTTGAGCTGAAGAAGCTATGGGGAAGGAAACGGACAGAGCAGGCACATTTGAAGCAATGAGTAAGTTTGGAAGGGAGGTCTGGATGGCCTGCGCGAGCTATACAGTAGCAAGGGACTCCATATGAGGTGCAGGTTGAACCTCAATGGGTCAAGGACAACCGAGGCGAGGCGAAAAGGACAACGTGAGAAACGAGTGATGAGCTACAATATATCGGTGGCGGCCGTGGAATGGAGTTAGTAGCAGGGTTAGATGCGTGATATAAGCCTCGAGGACTCTTTCGAGAAGATCAAAGCGAGACATGAAGCATGAAGGATCTATGCTGTGCTAACCATTACTGTAAGGAAATGGAAGCACACGATGAATTATGGAACGGCTGCAGTCCACTTAGTAGCCCCGCAAAGGAACACATGCTTTTGCGGATGCCATCCCCAATTCATTGATAGCTTTCTCGTCTAACTCGACTCTGGCCGTGTCGTAGCTTGATACACCCACAAACTCCGACGGATAGTCGCGGCCTTCTGTAGCGTCATCGCGCAGCCTGGTCTTGACGCTCGAGCTGCTGCACTACGTAATGTGACACCCCAAAGAGAGTGATTCATTTCTGACGTCGTCGGTGGCTGCGTCGGCATTCTGTAACTTAACGATTTTCTTCCGGGACAGCGGGAAGCGCCTGTTGAGCATAATGAAGGTTGAAATTGGCCATTCGCATTTGTTCTAGGAACGGAAGCTACAGGACTCCCCAACAGTAACTAATGCAATGCAATGCAAGCGAGGTTGAGTAAGAGTCGCTGAATCTGGAATGACGAGGTTTAGAACGGCAATGTTTGATGGTTTGATATGGCAAGGTTTTATTTGGCATGGTTTGACGTGGCAAGGTTTGAGATGGCAAGGTTTGATGTGGCAAGGTTTGATGTGGCAAGGTTTGATGTGGCAAGGTTTGATGTGGCAAGGTTTGATGTGGCAAGGTTTGATGTGGCAAGGTTTGATGTGGCAAGGTTTGATGCGGCAAGGTTTGATGTGGCAAGGTTTGATGCGGCAAGGTTTGATGTGGCAAGGTTTGATGCGGCAAGGTTTGATGTGGACTGAACCCAACTGGTGCATTCGCGCTAATTCCAGAAGCTATTTAAGGTTACGTAGCGCCGGCTGCTACAAGTCTCGGGTTTCAGGAACCCTTCCCCCCGACTTTGACCACAATCCTTTCACTGAGCACCGGAGGCCGGTTGATGGCCCACCTTCCGCTTCCCTTACCGTCTCAAAAGCATTAACTGGGCTCAACCCTCGTAGCGGATTACTTATTCGAAGTCTCAGCTTCTTCCAGAGCGAAGTTCCTCGATTGCAGACGACCTATAAGCTTCCACTGCAGCGAGTGTCTGGGCGGGGGTTCAATCCAATGCCACGAGAATGGCGGCCTGTTCAGCGGCGAGGAGGCAAGGGGAAAAGGCTAACGTTGGTGATTGCTGAAAAACTTAAATCTGACGAGAATGCATTACTACGTCGAATTCAAGGTGCGAGCCACAAATTTGTCATGAAACTTTACGAGCTCGTTGAAAAGTTTCCACACGAGGACTTGGACGCCATCTTTTCCGCCCTAGACAGGGCTCGTCTGGAACGAAAACGGGGTAAATCAGGGCCCAAGGATACATGGACGCCGATAGACTGCGGGCAAGCCGAGCAAGTTCTCCTGCAAGACGCCTCGCCAGAGCGCTACGACCTCACCTACAAAACCCTTCGGGTGCTTCAAAATATTGGCCTGGTAAAAACCATGACAGTCAATGTCGATACGGCTGGGTGGGATGGAGAGCCACACCCTAATGACACAGCTATCATCGTCCTGGTGCTAAATATCGACAACCAAAAGGCCCTAACAGTCATCAACCGAGATCGAAGCTTTGCAACCATCTACGGATCAGGATCAGTGGCGAACTACAACATTGCGGGAACGGTCAAAGAGTTTTGCTTAAGCTATCTTTCGCTCCAACCCGATATCTCATTCGACTCTTTACCCTGCCACCAACCTAACGACGGCCCGAATGATCCTGGCCGTACTTGCGACTGTAGGAACGAGGCTGCTCGCGATCTTTATCTTGCTGTTAGTGGTTTGCGTAGCGTCCTAGGCATGACCATCACGGCATGCATTAATACCTCTGCTTGGTCTCGTCTCTTTTCAACCCTGCTGACGTCGCGCGATGAGGACGGTCAACGAGGGCAGATGTCGGACGAGATCTACCCCGCCAATCTACTCGATCACTTCGAGGAGCTTGGTCAAGGGATCTTCAAGGTTGCACGCCCAGACTTACCCGCGTTTAGCTGCCAATCGCGTATAGAGCGCCGCGACACTAAAGCTCTCCTTCCGCTGCAGTCGGAAAATACCTGGGCTATTGCGATCATTAGCAGCGGCCACGCAGCCGTCATCACCAGCGCCTCGACAGAGTCTATGCGAAATGAGATCCTAGACAAGGCCCGGCATAGCATCGAACGTTACCCGTGCTTTCGGGGTGCGACACTGAGCGAGATAGCACACCCCCCCTTGACCGAAGACTTCAACCTCTGTCTCCTCCTTGAAGCTTTTTCCATTGCCATGAACGTTGAGATACAGGCTCCGATTGATCAAAACCTTTGGCGGGGATTTTTTTCACCACTTGACAATACCGCTCAGAGGCGAACGCAATGCCCTGCAGCTACAGCGTCCTCTTCGCCCGGCAAAGACACGACACGTCGTGTGGGTCGGCATTCCAGCTGGCGACGGAAGCATCCGGGAAAACTCGTTCATCCACGTCCGTGTTTGCTTTAAAGACCTGGAACTCTTCAACGACCACTGTTCTCCATTTCAGTCAGTTTCCGAACACGTGGTGAAAGATCTCGAAGCCAGACTTGGATCTTCTTTCATTGAGTACGATAGTAACGGTGTGGCGTTCATACACCAGTCAGTCTTGATGATGCTCTTTGCTGTCCACATATCTTCCGCAACCGTCGATTTCTGCAACTGGAAGCTGGATGAACAGAACTTGATACATACGGTGCAAAATTCCAGCTGCGATGAAGTTCTTGTATATGTATCCGACACGAGCTGCGACACATCTGGCCTAGTGAGAAGGCTCTACGACACCACTGATTACTTGGAGGCTGTGATGGGTAATATGCGAGTCTACCCAAGCAAAACGGAACTGTCCTGGTGCCGGAATAAGGTAGGCGACGTCAGGGTAATGGACGACATCGCTGCGAAGCTGCAGACCTGGCGACCAAGGACGTGCTTCGGAAGGGGCCACTGTGCACTCCGTGATGTGGAGAGCGGTCTTATGGTCTTGAAGAGAAACTACAGCTGCGCTGGGGTTCACGTTCATGTTGTCCCTGTCACACAACGCGGGAAGCTGCTATGCACGGCTCCGACGCAAGATCGAATGGCTAGGCGCACCAAGCCTACGAAACGCGCTCAACGTTCGGGTGTGCGAGAACAAGGTATATTCTATTTCCATCAGGAATTTGTTCCGACATTTAGGAACATTGGCGAGTTCAGGGTCATGGTGTGCGGGGGACAAGTGCTCGCTGCCTTCAGAACAAAAGAAGATTGGGATGCGCGTGCCAAGCCGATGGCTCTGCGGCAACTCCAACTCAGCGACTTCAACTGGCACTCCCAGGACGATGAAACTGCCAGAAAGCAGAAGCGAGATGAGCTCTTGGATTTCGTACTGGAAACCGACACTCAGATTCGTCAATTAAAGGGCGAGAGGTTCGAGACTGTACATGTTGGAGCGCGATACGATTGTGGAATATCACCGGATGGTCATTTCTTCGTCAGCGAGCTGACACGTTTCACATTTGCGGACACTTTCTCGGGGGAGTTGGCGCCCCCGTACGATCAGATAATTGGACCGCTGGCGCGAATGATTGCTCGGGTGCTCTTGGCGTAAGGGTTTTGCATTGTTATTGAGCAATAGGTAGACGATGCATCGGAGCCGCAAGGGAATGATAATATACATGCGCGTATATATGTATTTGTTTCTAAAAGCTCCGTTTCTTTTCGAAGCGCGCTGGCGCCGATGAGCATCGGCATGCGCACACTCTACCGCCTTCCAGTATTATCGTCCTCTCGAGGATATCCGAACCCGGCATCTTAAGTCAGAATCAGGCTATACTTCTCTAAATACTCCTTGGACTGCCTTGGCAATAGCTTTGTTGCTCGTTCAGGCAACTCCAACGTAGTGTTAAACTTGCAACTAGGCAAAGGTATGTCGTCGGACAGGGAGTGTTTTGGTGAAGCAGGCAGCCCCGACATGCAGACCTACCCACCCACTGTACCCGCAAACGCAACTTTCCCCCCACGACCGTGTGGCTTATGACTCGGAGTGGTCTGTCTGGCACCTTGCCCTTCTTACGCACATGTGGGTCACTTTGCCAGTACGTTAGAACAGCGGCGTTGTTCTTCTGCTGGATTTTCTCCTCGGGTTCCCAAGTTTCTGTGCCATCTCCCACTGGCAAGAGAGCTGAAAGCTCCGAAGGGAGCTGTTCTTGCCGCTTCGATACACGCGATGACCGACGATCGTATCGAGCTTTGGTCCAGCTTTGTCGGTTGGGGAGTAGTATTCGGTATCACGTAAGTGGTAGTCATCGCACTCGCTCCGCCACCTACTTCTCACTGTCCTTTCGACATACCATTTCGCTCGGGACGCAGGATACCCGACATTTTGCACGAGAAACTTGGATTGACCGTCGTCGCGAAGATCGTGTCCCACAACCAGAATGGCATGGGGGACACCATCCTCATCTGTCGCTAGCGGGCGCTTCCACAACTCTCGTCCCACCTCTTTTTTTGGTCTGTCGTAGAGCTTCCACCCCTCACCCCCGCAACCCCAGTACGTGCACACTGCAGCAGAGGCCGCCCTCTGAACGACAGACTCGCGTATCCAATAAGATTTGCTGTCCCGCAGGAGGCAGTACAGCTCAAAATATGGAGTGACTTCTTCGTTGACTTCGGGTTTCCGGTGGCTCTTGATGTACTGCAGATTCTCATTCAAATCGTCGATCTGGAGTTTGGAGTGTTCTGTTGAACCGTCGCTGACGTTTGAACCCTGGTCTGGAGTTCCTTTAGCGCCGCGAGTAAGTGGCTCGTCGGAGAATATAGGGGTTGCACCTTCGCCGCCACTGAGATTTTCGGTATCGGATACCTCGTATTTGGACTTTTTCTGCCTCTTGCTGGCTCGTCCGTGGGGGCTGTCGTCCTGCTGAGATCTTTGAAACTTCGATAGCGCCGAATCCCCAGCTTCTCGGCATTTTGCATCGTCACAATCGACACCGCTTCCAAAGTCGTTGTCACTGTCGCTTTTATTGCGTCGGTTTCTGCGAAGCGATGCTTTTGGCGTGCTTTGGCCGGTGAGTGGAATTCGGCTCGCACGAGCTTGGCTGGCTCCGGTCGTTGTTGTGCTGCCGGTGCGGACTTTTGGATGCATGCTTTTGTTTCTCGCCATCATTCTAGGGTCTGTCGTGGGAGCTCTAACTGTCGGCGTGTTCTTGAGCGTTGCCTTGGTTCTTTTGCTCAGAAACAATGAATTTTCGTCTGGCGGGGACAGCTTAGACCGGCTGGAATGCGGCTCCGTGGCTGTACTGTAACGAATAACCGCAAGAGATCTAGCATGCGTCCCACGGTCCGTCTCGGTCCTCTTCCCCCTTCCACTTTAGCGTTGATGCGCTATTGGCTGCCGTTGGCTGCCGGCCCCATGTAACCTTGGCCCCCTGGCTCCCATCTACACACGCGGAAATGGCCTGTTTTGACTTTGGACTTTCTGCCGAGCTCTCCACTTTCCTTGCTAATTGGTTTGGAGCTGGAGGGTCTTCACAGCGCGCTGCATATGAGAGCGGATTTTGCCCGCGCTGCCGATGAAGTGTGGCGTGGCCAAACCGATGCAGAGTGCCCAATCCTAGCCACGGGTCTGCAGGTTGAGGTAGCACTAGGTGTGCAGGGCTGTCGGGGCCCAATTATGGCTACGAGATACGAATAGGAAGCGGTTCCGCTGCTTGTCTCCACATTTGACTCCAGTGATCAGCGGGCCAAGAGAAGTGACACCCCCTCTTCGGGCCTTGCCATCCCTTTGAGTGCGCGAAGGCCGGTCTGAGGTTACCGGGCCCATATTAAGTCGAGACATATGCCTAAGCAAACTCTTGCTACTGATTGCTGCATTTGCTGGGATTAAGAAGTACTTGTTAAGCTGACGGTACCTAGTGTTTAGTGAGATTCGCGAGAGATACCAAGTATAGCTGCTATATGGTATGTTCATTGGCTAACATCCCTTTAAGTGACCTTCGACCGGCCTTCGCGCACTCAAAGGGATAGGGCGGGCTGACAGGGTAATTAGCGTCATGCGCCAACCTGACGTGACTCAATTCAGGGCTGCAGATATAATCGTAGGCTTTAACCGTGCCGTACCTTCCTCTCTCCACCTTCTGCTCCACTTTCTCTCGTCCCCTGCAGAAACCTGTTTTTCCCCTATAAGTGCAAAATATGGTCCAGGACGAGGAAGGCGGCGGCAATAAAGAGTGCGTTTCCCCGTTCCGCTTTGGTTATTCATGGCTCGTGATTGGTGAGCCCTATCGTTGCATTGTTGGTCTGCTGTGCTGCTAATGGATCATCGCAGCCGTTGGTGGGCTCCACTTTAACCTACTGGGATGCACTAGCGTATCACAGAGGATGGACCAGACGGGAGGAACGTCATCTGGCTATGGAAGCTGAGTGCGATCGATAAGAACTAGCGTAGGATTTTGAGAGTGACAGGTCAGTCTGCAGGTCCAGGCAGCATGCAAAACACATGTCTGTAGGTTAGTTGGTTCCCACCAACTGGAGCAACACGTACATACATTCGATGCGTAGCACGTGAATGCGGCTCGCTGTGCCTCCCTTCCTCGCTCCACCTCTTATTGCGAAGCGGCAGTTGGGGCAGTATTACTCGTCTTCGCTTATCGATATGGAAGCCAAATAGCTCACGACTGTCGCCCGGTTCTAGTTCAAAATACGACATGCTCACATGTAGACGCAGTCTTCGCCGAAACGGGAACCATGCGCCTCGTATATGCGTATGACTCGTTACTAGTTGCAAGGCCGCAACAAACCAAGAACCAACAACCGGCCTTTAAGACCAATCGGAGGTGTCCCGCCCTGTAGGGCCTTCACTGCCTACCTAACCATTATCCTTCAGCACGAGCGTGCATTTCCATAACCTGCTGCTATAGGTGTTAATAATGCCACTGCCTACCAATCAAGCCTGAGCAGCTGCGTCTCGGGCTTGCTATGGTGTCGTGCAGCCGTACAATTCAACTACCTACCGATTATTTCGAGCGCCGTTTTTGATCAAGTGTCATGAAAGCATCAATGGATAGGGTTCTGCCGTAAGAGATGAATGTACGGCTCACTGTTGTTGGATACTTACCTGTGATTGTCGAGGGTTTAAAAATGGGCCACTACAGTTTTACCCTACTTAAGCAGCCTGGTGTGACGAGTGAGTCTGCGTGCATCTCGTGCAACAATTTCTAGGTTCTCGGGATCTGTTGGAGATGAAGTGTGACTGTTGGTCGAGAAGCATTGAGGAGGGGGCAGAACGGTATCAAGAGAGAAACAGTGTTGGAGCTGCTGATGTAGGTGTCGAGTACTTATAGGCGTCGGCTGGAGACGTTTGATCTCTTCATCTCTTCTACTCTGTTCACTTATAACGATGTCAGACGCCTATCAGTATCAAGTACAGCAGAGTGCTGTGGCGGATAACTCGCAAGATTGCAGTTTGCTCCCGCAGCAGTATCCGGCCTTGCAACGCCCTCCCTACCCTTACCCCCGTCAGTATATAAACCACGTTCCACAACAGCACTCTGAACTCCCTGTTCAACAGCAGCACTCTGAGTCCCCTGCTCAACAGCATCCTTCATTTCTGCCGCCAGGCATTATGCAAGCTTTCACCTCTAGCCTTCAGTACGTATTCTACCTTGCGTGAGTATGTCAATCGCTGATGGGCCTACGTAGAGGTCAAGCTGGGATCCCTGGTAGCCAGCTTCAGTGCACGGATTCTCTTGGCATCATGGCTGGGGATGAAACCAACTTCTCGAATATAACACGTACCCACTTCCATGGCGAACATAGCAACGATTGGAACATTTACCACACCGACAATATCGATAACGACGGAGCGCTAGGCTCAGCGATGTGTGATCAGCGGGAAAATGATCGGCTAGGCCAACGAGGCTTATTTGAACAAAGGCACCACTCGCTCCCTTGGCCTCATCAACAGTTTTTATCTGGTGAATACCTAATCGAGGCCAAGAGCCCCGATATTTTGGCTCGCCAAGGCCAGCGAAAAAGTCCACGTAAAGGACGTCGCCGTCGGAAGCGAGTAGGGCTGATATTTGAAGATTTTGAAGTCGAATCGGCCTCGGGACCCTTGAATTGAATGAAGCCGAATCGGGTAAGGTCTTCAAATTCGACGAATCAAAAATCAGGAGTCTTCATTCAATTCATTCATAAAAATTGTGAATGAATGGCGATATGGTCGAAACGTAAGGCGAAAAAATTATCACCCGCTTCGCGGCCAAGGGACATACAGGAGGAAAGGGTCAATACCCGAAGCCACCCACCAAGGGCCTCTTCCTGTTCTTCCTCGGCAGGCTCACATACACATCAATAAACAAGCTGCTTTGACCCCATCATTAGGGTTTGCCCGCGCGGACACGGTAACTTCGAGTTCGGCCGCGCTTGTGATGACGCTCTGCGTATTTAAAAGTCTGTTGTGCGTGTTTCAGTTGGATTCCACCGTCCACACTCCACTGGCAAAATCCTAGTCCCGCGCCGCCCGCGTCTGGCGGGGGCGTCGCTGGGGAAATCGAGGCGAAGGACGGCAGTTAGGGCGTCCATATATTGTGGTATAACGACCCTAACAGTGCCTGATACGCCACCGTTTCAGCAATCTTGCCACCCTATACGGAGTATTAAAAAACACCATGAAGCTCATGAACAGTGCCATTTTATAATGCACATGATTTAAATGTAGTGCCGCTCGAATGTTCTGGATTTTCTCGTTCGGATGATATAACCTCGATAGTTACATGTCGTTAACATTTGCTCAAGAAATGCCACATCATCTTGAAGGCAATCAATGGATAGCCCATTTTTTGGTTGGAATACTACATTTCAAGCACATATTAAGCTCGGCAACCCATATTCTGGATATATAATATAATAATTATACCGCTGTACAGCCCCCAGCAAGCTGATTCGAAAAACGCGTTCAGATCCCTCAACATCTCAATACTGCGCGAACAATTGGAAGTGACACGAATCGAGTCAGCTCGCGATTTGGAGGCTGTTAGTGTAGGAATGTATCTATCTAGTGGTGTGACCAACCATGGTTGGCACGTGACCCGTACGGTCACGTGTGCGGCTGAGGGCAGCGTGCCCCCTTTCTCCACGCTGGCCTCTGCCTCCTTAGATAGAGAATCAAGACGAATACAACATCAGGTTAACCCTAGTACCGTCTCATTGCAGCAGCTGCCGCAGGTGCCTACCACACTGATCAGTGACCGGCCCACGCCCGTCACAGACAGCTAAGTAGAAGAGACAAATTCCTCAACCTTCGAAGGTGCTATAGTCCGCGTCACTTTACTGTGGCCCTGAGTAGCGCTCAGAAGAAGGTTATTTGTGCTAAGAACAAGGAATCTCCCGCTGGTTTGCCCAGCCGCGCGAGAGTCCTTCCAACTGTTGATTACGATCGCCCGCTAGTTTGCCTAGCCGTGAGCACCGGAATCGACAGGCGACCACATCGCAAACAACTAGTAAGAACGTTCGACCCTTGACGTTAAGTAGCAAGATCCCCGTCAGTTCAGTCTGGCCGCGAACGACCTACTTAGTACGCGACGCTCGACCTCCTATTAGCGACAACTCGTATACGAAGAGACCAATACGAACCCCACATCGTCTCATTCATTTGATCACGATAGCCCCGACCGCCCGAGCTATGTCCCCAGAAGCCCAGCTCGAAGAAATATGCGACCAGATGCAGGCACTAGACATCCAAGCATCCGCATTCCGACAAATTAATATCGACCTTTGGGACAACGATATCACACACGACGAAAAGGACAAGATCGCAGTAACGACATATGTGGCAAAGTTCATATTCATCGTTCAATCTGGCAGTGATCAAGGATACGACCTCCTTGGTTACTTCCAACAGCATTTTGAAGAATGGACCGAAGACACATGGGACCGCGCCCGAATGAATACAAGAGAGCCCTCAGGAAACTACTAAGGAAAAGAGGTATCTACACAGGTTCACAAAGGGGAAATTCGCAACACAATTTCTCATATTACAAACTATCGAGAACCCACAAACCTGGCCAGAGCAGGAGTTTACGGAGATGGTGTTTGATGAGAGGACTGCTGCCTTCAGGAGGCAGACAGCATTACTAGGATCAAATGCTTCCACTAATCCCCATCCGTCTCAACCTCCTTCACCATCAGTTACGCCCTTAGCAGCACCTCATCAAGGTCTTAACGAACCACAACCTATTAAGACCCTAACGAGCCCTCCTAACGCACCTACTCCTGCTCCGACTATCCAAGATAAACCTGCTCCGACCTCTCTTACTATTCATCCGACTTCCTACCGCTTCCAGAACCCCGATCTCGTCTCAACCTTTCACCAACCCCATCCCCGAACACTTATCCGGCCCTGCAACCTTTGGAGAATACATGAAACTCCCCCCGGATAACATCCCGAACGCTATCGTCGATAGCGACATCCAGCAGAAGTTTATGAAGACCTGGAACAAAGATCGGAACTACACAGGAGAGCCGTACGATCTCCTTGATGATAAGCTCCGCCTCTTCTTAAGCAACTGCTCTCATATCCAAGTGAAACCGTCACAATTTCACGCACTCTTTCCCGGATCCTTGATGGAAGAGCCCAAAGATTCTATCTTGATAAGATCACATGGGCTACGACGTTCCGACAAGCGTATGATATCTTCAAACAACACTTTGACACGGAAGTCAACCATGTCCACTACCATACTGACTGGACAACAATAACCTTTAACTCCATCCGTGCCCAAGATGCTTCGAAGACCCCACGAAGTGCTTCAAACCCTCTTTGATAAGCTTCAGCTCTGCCAACGAGCCCTTGGCAGGAGTACGCAGGAGACCTTCTACTGCGTACAACGCTTATGAAAGCATGCCGTGGAGTACCCGAACTCCAATACGCTCTTTTCAAACCCGCCGATAACGTCGAGCACCTTCTTGCAGATCTTCGTGCATCCGTTGAAACCCATCTTGCCCTCATAACAACTTCTCAATTTCCCCTTGACTTTGCTGGATCATTCGATCATAACGATCCACACCATCAGTACTACCTCGACCGTCGATACAATAACAACCGCTCTCGAGGTAGATACGGATATTCAGGTCAACGACCCAGCCGCGGATACAGACAAAGCTACAACCGTGGAAACTACCGGCCTCAAAGCCGTAGTAACTACAATCATAGCTACAGTAACCGAAACTGGACGAAGAAGTGTTTTGTTTGTGGACAAGAAGGCTGTTGGTCAACTAAACACTCTACGGATGAACGGCAAAGGCCAAGGACCAACATATCACTCAATGTCACTTCATAGGTGTACAACTCACGGACATCGGAGGCTATATTCTAGACTACGAAGGTCATGAGATGAGCAGCTTTGATGACACTGAAGATACATGGGAAGAACATGACAATAGCACCAACGATCACCCGGAACAATGGCAAGCAAGCCAAATGCTCTGTCAACAGGCATTCAATCATTTGATCACAGGAGAAGACGTCTATCAGACGGATCAAACCGTTGTTCCAGCCTCGCAATTTATTATTGAAGATCGCTATTCAAGGGATAGATTCCAAGGTATCATGATCGACACAGGTGCAGCAACATTTTCCACAGCAGGATACTCTCAGTACATCGCCCTACAACGAGAAGACCCTTCTGTAGCTCTCGACAGCTCCACATCCGGCCAGGCCTCCATCAAATTCGGCAACAGCGACGCCATCCACTCCTCGGCACAGTCGCCCTTAACACACCCTCGGAAGGATCACGTTCCACGTCCTTCAAACCCCAACTCCCTTTTGCTCTGCCTTGCTGATATGGACCGGCTTGGTATCTATTTCAACAACATCACAGATACCATCAATTGTACTAATCATTGTACTAATCGCCCTACAAGCATTCCAGTCGTACGCAAATGGGGACATCCCTGGTTCTTCCTTACGAAAGATGAAGAGTCCATCTCGTTTCTTACGGAAACAGAGATTCGTACACTTCACCGACGCTTTGGACACCCAGCAGTCCCTAGGCTCCATCACCTCTTGAAGCAAGCCGGGCACAGTGACGTCTCGATAGACACATTAGAGACTATCTCTAAGTTCTGTCACCACTGTCAAATGCACTCACAAGCCCCACGCCGCTTCAAGTTCACCCTTAACGATGATCAAGAGTTCAACTACGAAATCATCGTTGATGTGATGCACCTAGGAACACCACAACGCCCTGTTCTACACGTTGTGGACTCAGCTACTGCTTTCAAGGAGCCAGATTTTTACCGTCAATGTCAGCTAAAGATACATGGGAGACCCTCCGGACCCTCTGGATCGACACGTATCTTGGACCTCCTGATACCCTCCGTCATGATGCAGGAACTAACTTTGCTTCTCTCGAATTCCGGAACGAAGCAAAGATTATGGGAATCAAATGCTCTCAAGTACCTGTTGAGACGCATTGGTCCATTGGAAAGATTGAACGCTATCACGCACCCTTCGACGCGCCTTTAACATCCTCCATGCTGAGATTGGCCACACCACTTCCGCCGAAACAGTCCTTCAAATGGCTGTTAAAGCAATCAATGATACGGCAGGACCTGACGGTCTTGTGCCTACGTTGCTTGTTTTCGGCGCATACCCTCGCGTATCTACAGACCCTGCCCCTTCCGCTTCCACCCTCAAAAGATCGGAAGCTATGCAGAAAGCGATGAAAATGCTCCGCCAACTCTCGGCAGAAAGACGAGTTAAGGATGCCCTCCATGCACGCAACGGCCCGAGCACGACAGAAGTGCTATCCCTCCCGCTGCAAAGTGAAGTTCGCGTTTAGATGAAAGACGGTTGGCAAGGACCCTTCAAGATTGCATCGATTGATAGCCATAACATCACCATTGACACAGTCAACGGCCCCAAGTCTTTCGATCGACCCTTGTACAACCGTATCTGCGTGATGATACCACTCTTTCCGACCCTACACACGACACAGACCCTCAGGCATTCGTTCAGATCTTAATGAACAACCGGCTCAAGACCCCGTTAAGACCCTAACGGCCCTGCCTGCCCGACCCGAACCCCCCCCCCCCGCAAGAGAGGACGCCCACCAGGATCAAAGAACAAGCCAAAGGATTTGATCATGATGGCCCAAGCCGTAGACCAGAGCTTCTTGACCCAAAAGGAGGAAGATGCACAAGCGCTTTTCCTCAAGCTACGGTCTGATGGCATAATCACCTCTCCTGGTGACCCTTCGAAGAATCCGATAACAAAGAGATTACTGACCTCGTTGGCCGCGGTGTATTCCAATTTGAACGATACGATCAAATGACTCATGGAAACTATAGAATCTTTCGCTCTCGAATGGTTCGTGAAGTCAAAGGAATCAACACTAAGCCCTACGAAAAGTCTCGACTTGTTATTCAAGGACATAACGACTTTGAGAAGACCACCCTCCTGACGCAATCTCCGACAATTCAACGCGTTAGCCAGAGACTCATCCTCGCTATTGCCCCCGGACTTCTTCAAAACTACGGCATAACCCTCTCCCTCCGTGATATCACTCAGGCATACCCGCAATCCCAGACCAAGCTTTCCCGGACCATTCTTACGTATTTGCCCACGGAACTACAAGGCAAATACCCTAACGGAACAATTATTCGTGTTATTAAGCCCCTGTACGGTATCGCAGAAGCCGGAGTCCATTGGTTCCGCACATATCAGCAGCATCACCTCGAAAAGCTGGATATGTCTACCTCCACCTATGACTCCTGCCTACTGATTTCGAATACTGGCCCTGACACGCTCGGTATTGTTGGAATGCAAACTGATGACACCCTCATCCTTGGAACGAACAACTTTTCTACCCGTGAAGAAGAAGAGCTACAAAGGCAGAATTTCGTTCCAAGCCCAAGACTGACATCACATACGGAACAACGGTTGACTTTAATGGTGCAAGACTGACGTTGCTGAATAATAACCCCTTAAGAAAGGATCCTTTACTTCAACAGAAGGGACAAGCAGCAAAATGACCACCATTGACCCTAAAGCAATTGATCGTCACCAGCGCTACGTTGAGGAACGAGCGCGAGCCTCATACATTGCTTCAATTGCTCAACCGGAAGCTTCTTTCGATGTTTCAGTCGCAGCCCAAGTACAGACCCTGAGGATAAAGATTACGCAATTTTGAACAAGCGACTGCAATGGCAAATGGATCACCAACTACGTGGCCTCACGTACAAACCAATTGATCTAGCTACTGCAAAGCTGATGGTTTTCACCGATGGTTCTTTCGCAAACAACAAGGACTTATCCTCCCAACTAGGATTCGTCATTACCCTCGTTAACGAGACAAACCACAAAGAAAAACAGTTCGAGATTAGTGGTAACATCGTACACTGGAGTTCAACAAAGTGCAAACGTGTTACCCGTAGCGTCCTAGCATCAGAGATCTACGGTATGGCCAACGGATTCGACATAGGCATCTCCTTGCGATGACTATGAAGATAATTACGGAACGACTCAACCTTCCTCCTATCCCTCTCATCGTCTGTACGGATTCGTACTCTCTACGAATGCCTAGTCAAGCTCGGTACGACGAAGGAAAAACGATTGATGATTGATATCATGGCCCTTCGCCAGTCATACGAGAAGAGAGATAACAGATATTCGTTGGATCAACGGCGCAGACAACCCAGCAGATGCAATGACGAAAGCATCACCAAACCGAGCCCTGGAACGCTTCATCGATACCAATAGTCTGACAATTCGAGTCGAAGGATACGTACAACGTTCCTAACCGCTCCTTATACCTATGATCAAATGATTGCTCCTATCAGGAAGACCCCTTCACTTCTTCCCAGATATCTACAGCTAAGAACAAGACGTCGGACCCACTTTTTGGCAATAATGACACACGCCCCTCACGGCACATTCCTTCACGGCCTTAACGCTACTATCCTTTAGACCCGTTCAAGGTGTTGCTGTGCTTCTCACAGCAAAAGAAGAGTTGCCTGTGTAGGAATGTATCTATCTAGTGGTGTGACCAACCATGGTTGGCACGTGACCCGTACGGTCACGTGTGCGGCTGAGGGCAGCGTGCCCCCTTTCTCCACGCTGGCCTCTGCCTCCTTAGATAGAGAATCAAGACGAATACAACATCAGGTTAACCCTAGTACCGTCTCATTGCAGCAGCTGCCGCAGGTGCCTACCCACAGTTAGGGACTTATCTACTCCTCGAGCCCAATATGACTGCTACTTGTTTGTCCATACAAATTAGCCGATCAGGAAGTACCCGAAAAATCTGCATGATAAGGATATATTGTGCCAACTAGCCGCGTTCAGACGCGTTATTTCCGCTCAGTTGACCACCTGTTAATTCTACTGCTGTCGGAAAGACAGGGTCGTCAGCCCATCCACCTTTTGCCTGCGTGGCGCAACGGTCTTCGCGACAACTGCCACGACATTATTTTACCACGACCTCGCCTAATTCCTGCTTCGATATTCCGACAGCGGCTTCGGATCAGCCCCCGAATCAACGCCCTGACCGACGACCTATCCTACCCGTTCAACCCCGACTCCTTGACACTTTATTGTGGTTTATTTGGTGTCGTTCCGACTACCTGTGTCGCGTCCATTCTCGAGCCTTTCAGCCAAGATCAGGTAAAACTTCATTACTCTCAATCTACCCTCCTTATTTAATTACCTTACGAGTGGATAGCTAATTATAACATGATACGTAGTATGGCCCCTGCTGAAACAAAAACATCTGCCGCAGCGAATTTCTTTGCTCCAAGGACCCGGCGTAAATTGCCAACGCAGAATTATGCCCGCATCGAACGTCCTCAATTCAACCTCGGAATCGCGCGCGCGCGCTGATTCTAGCGCAACTCCGGCTCCTTCCTCTCCTCTTCCAACTGGCGAAGATACAATTGTCTGCGCGCCCCCGGGTCATCCTGACTGTGAGTCAGATGATGACATGCCCGACGCGGATACACCAGAGCCGCCATTGAACAGTAGTCATATGACGCTCGCAGAGAAAGCCGGACTTATCAAGAAGTGGGCCGACAACAAACAAAAGCATGTTCGCAAGAAGAGAGACAAGAACAGCCACGTCTATTGGTATATGCAGAGGAAGCTATAGACAGAAGCTTTTACTCAGAGGATAAGGATGGGCCGAAGATCTTCCAAGAGTTCCGGTGGACTTGTATAGAGTGCCTTCAAAATCCCAATACTCTTCGGAAGAGATTCCAGGTCCTCGAATCGAACCGCCGAGGGTTACCTCTGGCATGGGAGACCATTTAAAAATCCACGGTATTACGAAGGAATCTCACCACGCTCGAATTAATGGATACGGCCGCGCCATTGGTGGAGGAGATTATACAGAGGCAGACGCATGGAGCGGTCGACCTAGGCAGAGAGCAAGACTCACGGCAAAGGAGTCTATCCGCCGGTGGTTTGTAAAACACCGACAACCCTTCTCTGTTGTCGAGACTCCTGCTTTTCAAGAGATGTTCTTGGCTCACAACACAACATGTGTGTACAGGAGTCGTATAACGTTACGCAATCATATATATACAGACTTTGTCGAACGCAGGAGAAGCTGAAGATTGAGCTTGAGTACAATTGTGCCACCATCTCGTTCACCCTTGATATCTGGACAGCACCGAATCGGGTGCCCATTTTCGCCATTATTGCGCACTGGATTACACCGGAGTTTGAGGAGAGAGAAGTTATTGAGTTTATTGAGCTCAAAAGATCTCACACTGGCAAACAATTAGCTGAGATAGTTGAGAGGACGCTTGAGGAGCTCAGGCTCAAGCCTAAGCTTCTCGCCATTACGGGAGACAACGCCGGCAATAACGGCACGCTCTGTCAGTCTTTGTACGATTCTCTCAAGACCAAATTCGACGACAAGGTGAGCCCAATAGGGAGGCCCGCATGCGCTTTCACGGCAGGAAGAGTTGGATCCGCTGTCTAGCTCATATTACCTCGCTCATTTGTGAGGGCGTCTTGCAAGATCTCAAAGCAGGCACAGCGAAGGAAGCCAAGAAGATGCTTGACAAGTGGGACGAAGAGAATAAAAGCAACAACTACACCATTCCGGGAGACTCTAGTCGAAGTGGGATTGCCAAAATCCGCCTCCTCAATCTCTGGATGTTGAGATCCGGGTCTAGGAGCAAGACTTCAAAAGCATGCCGCGCACGCACTACCGGAAGCCAACCTACGATGTCGACACTCGCTGGAATTCGGCCTACGACATGATTGACCAATTCCTCGAGCTTGAGGCAGAGTATACTGAGTTCGTTGATACTCACCCGCAAGTCAAGTGCCTCCTGCCCTTATCAGAAGAGATTGTCGCTCTATCAACTGCGGAAGGTTCTGAAGCCGTTTAAAGACCACACTCTGAAAGTCTCCGAAGTTATGCCGCCGATCTCACAAAGTCTCGATATCTATTGGGATTTGGAAGCTCTCCTTGATGATGTAGTCGAAGGAGTTGGCGACTTTACAGACCTTGATATGTCCATTCGAGACGCCTTCTCGAAGGGCAAAGCAAAACACGTTACTTATATGAAGAAGCTTGACGATCAAATGATGCTATTCGCAGCTCACATCCTGGATCCGCGTTATAAAACTCACCAATTGGAAATGATGATACCGGATCAATACTCTGAGATTATGGCTAAAGTCAAGAAGTATTTCAAAACGGAGTGGCCGGAGCTAGCAGCATTGAATGCCACAAACTCAACTATGAGCCAATCCAGACCAGCTGAGCGTCCTCAAGGAGTCTCCATTGCGCAATGGAGAGCCATCCAAATGAAGAAGGCGAGGGAGGCGGAGACGGGCGCGGCGATCCCTATTTCGGAGCTTGAACGGTGGCTTGCAGCTCCTCGAATAGAGTTCGACGAGTCTATTGCAAAGTCTCCAGACTTCCTACTGAAGTGGTGGAAAGAACACAAGGTCGAGTGGCCACTTTTGGCTGCGGCGGCGCGTGATCTTCTCTCTGTCTCTGGCTCTGAAGTTGACGTGGAACGCCTCTTCAGCGGTTGTAGAGACGAATTCGGTATCCGCCGTCACGCCTTGAAGGCAGATACGGTGCGAGTACTAACACTTTTACGGAGTGCTTATACTCAGGAAGATAAGATCGATCAGGCGTTGATCAAGGCGGCCATGGAGTATGACATCCTGCCCTTTGCCAATAGTATTATTTGGAGACCAGACCACATTCCGGGCAAGCTGGAAGATGGTATGTATGGATATACCCTCATTATATATGTAGGTATATGCTAATCTGTGTTCAGGCGAGAATCCTCCTCAACCTCTTCCTCCCACCGAGGCTCCCACCGAACCCCTACCCCAAACCTCCTGCATCCCAAGCCGATAAGTCTGCGATATCAACCCCCTGTCTAGATACAATGGAGGCTTCGGAGGATTGGGGCTCTAAGAGTGTAGCCGTGTACAGTGGCGGATTCGAACGCGTTGTACCGACGTATTTTGAGGATTCGGCAGAGCTTTGAAAGTGCTTATTTTCAGTCGATTTGCCTAGGACAGGCGGATCAGTATTTATGTAAGTTAATTTTTGTAGTATTCGGGATTATCGACTTCTTAGAAGGCTATAACTTAAAACTATATACTACTTATTGGCGTTTTTGAGGCATCTTTGCAATCGCTCAGGTACACACCAAATTCACTTCGTTTAGGGGGATCCCTTCAAACCATTCATGAATGGCCTGAATTGGCCCAAACCCAACTTGAATCGCGAAAATTGGAGCTTGAAGATTTTGAATCAAGATCCAAAAAATTCAATTCATTTGATTCATCCTTCATTCAAAATCTTCAAAATCTTCACCTTCGTCTATCACCCCTAGAAGCGAGCCCTGACATCCTCCCGACAAGATCGTGGGCTTGACAGCGAAGAGGTCCTCAGGTATGCTTGGAACATTCCATGCAATAATCTGACCGGCAACGCAACGAACTGATCGGAAGTCGCTGACGTTTGACCAGTTCACCCCGCAAAGAAGTATCTAGTTTGCGAGACGACGCAGTCAACAAGTATTGCGCGTGGCAGTGTACAAAGGTCCGAAGCTCGATCCAGAAACAAAACTATGATCTGGCACGGGGGGTTGACCATAGATCATGGACTTGATCTTGAGCTACTACAAATTAACCAGGACAGCGCAGTCCGGTTATATATGAGACACGGAGTGGTTGAGGGCGTGGCGTTTCGCTGGGTTCATGATATTGGGGCTTTTCTAGACCAGTCTTCTGAAGGAAACAATCTCCAGCGCGAGATCATCAGTAAGAACACTCTGGGATCTGGACTTGACGATTAGGGGGCTGGCAAGCCTGTGATTTAAAAACGGAAGAAAATGTTTACAGGGCACTGGATAAAACGAGCACTGAGCCCCACTGTACAAGATTAAGGAAGATGCTCTCTGCAGATGCTTATTACTGAGCCTTGTAATGATGATCTGTGGCGACCCGACGCATCACTCTGCCCCGCGTTTTCTTATTAACAGATCTGGGGACGCTGAGCCAGAGCACCGCTATACGGTGTGTTCGGGTTTTGCGACTTCAATAGAAGAATGTAGACCAACCTCAAGGTATTTGTGGCTGTTATCAGTGTGATTTATCCGTACCTCCCGCCATATTGGCTCTATGCCTACAACTACCATAGACCGTCGAGGTACGTACATGCAGCACATCGTCCAACTCTCCCCTGTAAAAATTCTGTCCCCTGGAGAGCTGTTAGCGGCTTGCTAGCTGGGGTCAGATTTACAGCGCTTCAGCTGCGGGGTCCATCGTGGCCCTAACAGCACAGAGGAAAACCATAGGAGAGTTCATATTCCTCTGCGAAGCCGGTCTCGACAACACGTCCACTCGGACCTCATGGCTCTCTTCGGAACCAAGGAGCTGTGGGTATTGGAAGGTCCGCCCTTCTAAACAACGGTGGCTGGCGGCGGAGGTTTTTCTCCCTGAAGGCAAGCTGCGCGACAGCCTCTGATTCCTTCTGAGGGGTGTTTTCCCTACCGCCGCTCCTCGCTATTTCCATCGCTTGGTTACCGGAGCATGGACTGCGGCAGCAGTCTTAGCAGCGAGCGAGATAATCCTGACCAGGAAAACCAAGGGTTGACCATTGTGGCAATTGCCACGCGCCTGGAAGTCGCGCTGACGGGAGACAGGCTTCGACAAGGAGCGCCAAAGAGCCTACGAAATGCTGGATGGACATTTGGGAGGACTGGCCGCGGGGGCTCTGGTCACTTGTATTGACGTGCTCAGCGACAACCTACCGTCGGGCGTAGAGAGCCGCCTCCAGGATCCACCTCGACAGCTTGCCTTTGGCCTTGCAGGGAGTACTGGGTGGCCTTTCGGTGGCAGGAATTTTAGATAGTCTAGCTCAGCACGTCCTGTGCCCCGTCTCGGGGACCTGAGCGGCCTGAAGGCCGCTGGACAAAAATACACACACACACATGTCAAGTTCTCAACGTGTTACCCAGCCTCAAAGCACTGGCTGGTGTTATACTCAGGGAAGGGATGCCTGGCTTTTGAAACAAATTTTGGGATCATCTCGTCACGGAACAGGCTGTTTGGATAGTTGCTTCTGTAGGGCTCGTGACATCGAAAGAGCTACCATCAGAGGACGACCACTTCGGAGTTCAAATCGTCTCAATTTCAGTCGAATTCTGCGAATAGTTGCTCGCTGCAGGAAGCTATTTTCGCGATGTCAATATGTGAGCGGACGTCAAGAACGAGAGTCTTAATATGCTTGTGTTGGGTCATACAATCTGGAGGCATTTCGTTCTTGGCTTTACCGGACGATTCGAAGTGTGTCGGTGAAAGTGGAAGAAGTGGGGGAAAATTCCCCGCGACCAGCGGCGGGGGGGTCGCTACTCTACCCATCGTCCAAAGGCCAGCCAGCCGCTGTCGAATCGAGTTGACAAAGTGCCGGATACCTAGAGAACCGAGCGCTGTGCCACAGGTAAATGCTCGTGCTTTCAAGTTCCAATACGAGAAAATGCACACATGCGTTTTCGCCCCCATATACAGTATCGGTCACCATCCGAGCCCTTCCGCACAGAAGCCAAGTCGGCGGATTATGGCCGAGACAGCAAACCAACAGAACTTATCGCAAGACCGCCGAGTATATCCCTTAGTTGGGAAGCAAACGGCAGTGGTGAAGTGCACCCCCTATGCAGCTCCCAGGGTGTGCCAGCCGCTACACCAACGGCCCCAGCAGACCTGTGGAGATTTCCCTTACCCAGGAAGCCACGGGGGACTAAAGACGTGATTGCGACCGTGTTCGACCGTCCGACCTCCGTGCTGCGATATGCCAGTCCACATTATTTGTTTCGGGAGCTTCGGGTAGTTTGGTGCTGTCTGAATTCATTAAAAGAGAGAATTACACTGTGCAGTTCCGCTGGTGCCTTGAGGAACGAAAGGCCTCTTCTTATCGCGCGACCACCCAACCCTATTTTTTTCCCCCCAAAACTCCCGTCCTCTGATTGGTCGGGTTCCTCCCTTTTGATTGGTCGGAAAGGAAATTATCATGGTTTGAAAGCTTCCCCGCAACCTCGACTGCTTACCGCTCCTTCCTCCGGCCTCCTTTTTTTCTGATGGAACGGCCCTGTTTCGTCCGCCCTCTCGGCCGCCTATCACTCCTAGCCGGGCCTTTGCCTTTCTTTTGGGGTGTCTTGGAAGAAGACGTATAGAACTTGCCCCGCCGAGGTTTTGTGAGAACGGTGGTTCTGCGGCTCGGGCCTAATGAGGAAATAGTTGGGCGTTCTATCTATTTATCCCCAGTCTCGTCTTGTCCCTCCCGCGGCCCCGGAGGTCATCGCCGAGCCAGCGTAGCGCCTCCCGACGGTCCTCTCACTGAGCCTCTCTAGCCGTGCCTGCGCCGCCGTCATCTCCTCGGGCACCCTGTTCCCTACCAGGTCCCTCTCCGCACCTCCGACACGAGCATGATGCCGTCGAGCGTCGGGCACCGCGATAGCTGCACGTATAGGCTATACGGGTCGCACGGCGACGGTACCGCGCGCCCGTCGACGGTCGTCGTCCTCGCCCCCGAGCTCCAGCGCCACGCGCTCCAGCGTCCCGCCCTGCACCTTGTAGTCGGTGCAGGCGAAGGCCGCGGCGCACGGCAGGCCTCCGGCTAACGTCGTTCCGCTGCCACGGCCGCTTCCGCTGGGCCTGGATCTTGACGCTGATGGGCGTCAGCAGGATCGTCCCGGACGGCATCCCCACGAAGTGGAAATCCTTGGTCGTCTCCGAGGCCAGCACCATGCCGACCGGCGGCCCGAAGTGCATTGTCAGCTCCGCCGAGACCCGGTGGCCGGGGAAGGCCCGGTCGGGTATGACGTCGACCGCCGTGTACCCGGCCCCGTTCACTAGCTTCAGCCCCTGGTGCGTGTTCTGGTTCACGACGACCGGCATGCCGGGCACGAAGAGGAAGACGGCCGGCACCGGAGTCGCGCTGTCGTCGCCCTGGCCTAGCATCAGCACCGCCTCCTCCTCCGTCGGCGTGCCGTCCCTCCACTTATGCTCGGAGACGAAGATGCGCGCCGCCGTCCGTTGCCGGGCCCGGAACGCGAGGGCCGCCTCTAGGTTGAGGTTCCAGCGATTCCTGTTAAGCGGCGTCACCACCGTCACCCCAGTCTCCCACGGTATCCGCCTGCCCGCCCGGTAGCACCTCGAGTTGAGGAGGTCTAGGTCCGACCGGTCCTGCTCCCCCCGCCGGATCCGCCCGAGCAGCCGCCGTAGCTCCGGGTCGCCGGCGGCGCGCATCTGCTCGTCGAGCATGACGACCGTCGTAAACTTCCTCCATAGCGCGTGCGCCTTATCGTGCTGCCGCCGCCGCTCGGCCGCGAACGCGCCGTCCGCGTCCCACGGCACCGCCGCGCTCGGCAGCAGGATCGACCGCTCCTGCACCGGCCGGAACTGATGGAAGTCGCCGCAGAGGATCACTACCGGGATGCCGCCGAAGTCCCGCGGCGAGCCCCGCAGCCGGCAGAGCTGCTCGTTCGCCGCGTGCAGCGTGCGCGCCCCGAGCATGCTGACCTCGTCGATCACCAGCACCTCCTTCTCCTGCCAGTCCATCCGCGACCGGCCGTCGACGAAGCGTTCGCCCTGTCCCGGCAGCCGCACCGTCTACCTCCTCGCCGACCCCCGCCTGGCCGCCCTGGCCGACCAAGAGGCCGCAGGCCGAGTGCAGGGTGATGCCGTTGATCCGCGCCGCCGCCGTCCCCGATGTCGCCGTGATTAGTAGCTGGCTCGATAGGTCCTCTGGGCGAACAGCTCGACGAGCGCCTCAATGACGCGCGACTTGCCGGTACCGCCCTCGCCGCCGACGAATAGACAGAGCTGGCCGGCGTCGCCGCTGTCGCCGGCGTCGCCGCCCTGCCGGGCCTGATCGAGCTGGCGGCATATGATGAGGAGGGCGATCGACTGCTTCTCGTTAAGCGTTAGCCGGCCCGCTAGCTCCCTGCCGGCGGCGACAAACGAGCTCGACGGGCCGAGCCGCACACGCATCCCCGCGTCGGCGTCCGCTGCCGTCACCTCGACGTCGTCCTCGCCGAAGCCGCCCATCACCCCGCGTAGCGCCGCACCTCGGTCGGCCCCGGGCGCCGACGCCGCCGCGCCGCACCTCGGTCGGCCCCGGGCGCCGACGCCGCCGCGCCGCCCTGGATTCCTTGGATCGCCCGCTCCCGCTCCCGCGCGGCGCTCCTCTGCTGCGACTTGATGGCTCTTACCTGCTCTTGCCGCGGCAGCGCCGCCCCGGAGAGGTCGACCCGCGAGGATTACCCGCCTCGGCCCCGCCTCGCCCGCCACCACCGTCGCATCGAGCTCGGCCGCCGACGAGAGCGCCGACTGCTGAAACCGGCAGAGCTGCTGCGTCATCGCCAGCAGCTCCGCCGACCGCGCCGTTACCTGGCCCGCGCCGGCGGCGTTCCGGACAACGTCGATGAGCCGCGCCGCGTCGCCTGCGCCGCCGGCGCGGTACACCTGCCCGCCCCTCGGCCGCCTCCTCCGCGCCCTCGTTGGCGCGTGCCGCCGCCGCCGGCTCGCCCTCCTCGGTCGTAGCGGCCCATTGCCTGGCGTCGCGCTTGGCGTCCTCCGCCGACCGCCGGAGCAGCTGTACGTTGTCCGCGAGCCGCGCGATCCTCGGCGCCAGCGCCGCCCGCTCCCGCGCCCAGATATCGTTGATGTCGCCCGTCTCCTCGCAGACGAATGCCTCCCACGGCACGAACAGCGCTAGATGCTGCACCGCCGCCCTTTGCACCGTTAGCCGGGCCACGGGCCGCGTCGCCGTCCGACGGTACGCCCTCGGCTTTGCTATACGTACCTCCGATGACATGACTCCTCGTCTTCCTCGCCGAACTCCTTACTGAGGTACCCGTCTAGGCGTACGCTCGCCCCATACCCGGCCGTCTGAGCACTTGCGCCCAGTCCTTCCCGGAGCCCAGCTCTCGTTAAAGGGTATCTCGCCCCAGGCCGCGCAGCCCTCGGCGCCTCCGCCATTCCGTTTCAGCCTTACGAGCGACGCGTAGTCGTAGAGACAGAGGCCCTGTAGGAGCCCGCCTCTATGCCGGTAGGCCTCGATGAAGGAGATCCTCGGCCCCGCCTCCTCGACGACGACCGTCTCGTCCGGCGCGTCGCTCGCCGTCGCCTCTACCCCGCTCGCCAGTCGGAGGTGCCGCCACTGGCGGAAGACGGCCCAGTAGAGCTGGTTCGTGTTCACGTACGCCCACGCCGCGCCGCTGCAAAACTCCGCGGGATACCCCAGGAGGTCGGCGATCACCTCGACCTGGGATAGCGGGCGCTCCGTGAAGATTCGGTTCGCCGCCTTTAGTAGGAATACCCTCGTCTTGTTCCCCCTTATAGGGTCCGCCGCGGCCTCCTCTCCGGCTCCGTTCCCCCCGCTATCGTTGCGGTCGGCGCTGGGGATACTGCTCTCTGCTGTCGGCTCTAAGGTCGGGAGTAACTCGGCCGCGGCGGCCACCCGCTTCCACGTAGGGTCCTCTACCTTAGTCGCATAGTTGGTGATGTAGTAGATCAGGGCCATGGTCTTGCGCTGCGTCGCGATGAACGAGATGTCGTGGTTGTGCCGCAGCCCTACCGCCATCGCCTTGTTCCACCGGTTCACCATGCTATGTGTCCGCCGGATCTCCAGCACGCCGTCCGCCGTGAGCGCCGTCCTCTACTAGCCTCCAGGGCGCCTTAAAACGGCAGAGGTCGCCCTTACGACCGGCCCCCGCGAGCGAGTACTTGACGCAGGTCGCGCTATGCGTATGGACCTGCGTCGCGCCGGCGCAAGTTGGCCTCCTCGTCGAACGCGTCCGTAAAGCGCTCGACGTCGTCAAGCCACGACGACATGTGCGCCGTGATCGACCGCTCCGCCTGCACAGCGTGGTGCCCTTCTGCGTCTAGCTCCTACGGCCTAGGGTTAGTTTCGGCCCTTTATTCTGCGTTCGACGGAGCCGGAGGCTACGCCTCTGACGTCGTCCGCCTTACCTCGGAGAAGACGCTGTCTACGTAGCGGATTATTCGCTCCCGGTACGCTGCCTGCTCCTCGCCGCCGGCGCCGGCCAGCGCCTCGCCGAGGCGCGCATTGCCCTTTAGCCAGAGAAGCCCGTGGAGGTGGAGAGCACCTCGTTCGTTCGTCTCTACCGCCGTAGTACGCCCCGACGTGCCCGAACACCGACTCGTCCCCGACGTCGACGTAATGCTCGAAGAAGAGCTTTATCTCCCGGTGAAAGAAGACGGCCGCGCTCATCGGGTCCGCTATCGCCAGCCGCACCCGCTTATACGCAGTCCCTAGCTCTCTTAGGAAGGCCTCGGCCGCTTCGGGGTCGCGGGCGCGGTACGCCGCCAGCCGTAGCTTTACCGGGTTCGTAATATCGTTCGGGTTTAGCGTGAACCAAATGGCCGGCACCCCGTATCTGACGATGAGAGATAGTATCTTCTTCCGCATACTTAGGCGGCTCTCCCTCGACATCGGCTGCCGGTGGCCAAACACCGATAGGGACCGGAGGAGCTCCTTTACCCCGTCGTCGCCGGTCTTGCCCGTGGCCTCGAGCTCGACCCTCGCCGCCTCGAGCCTCTGCGTCGTTAACGACTTTAGTAGACCCTCGACCTTTGCGAAGTTCTTCCTCGTTACGCCTAGCATACTGGCCTGGCGGTTCCTAGACCGCACCCCATATTAAACACTAGGAAGGCGAAGATGGGATGCGTCGCGAACCGGCCGCCGTGGCGCCGTAGCACGACGTCGGCCCATGCTTGGAGGTTCATGTTCCGGGTCGACGTGAGGCCCTCCGCGACCCGCTCCGCCTCGGCAGCCCGGCCCCGCCACCCGGTAGTCTCGCTTCCACGGGTAGCGGCCTCGTCGGCGAGCCTCGGCCCCCCCACGCCAAAGGAAATTAGCGTCGGGAAGGTCTTGGCGAAGAAGGAGGCGTCCGCCGAGTCGGCGAACTCGTTGCCGCGCCGTACCTGGATATAGGGCTCGTACTTGTCGCCATCGCCGCCGCGCGCCGCCCCTCCGGCCGCCGTCCCCACCCACGTCCTCGGGCCTGCGCGGGCGCGCGCTCCGTCGGGCCCGACGGCGTCGCGGGCGAAGCGAATCTTCTCGGCGTCCGCCACCCCTGGCGGCCCGTCGAGCGGGAACATGCCGGACGACGTCACCTCGTTGATTACTTCCCCGCCCTCTTCGGGCCTAGCGCCGTCCTCTTCGTCGTCGCACGTGGGCCTGACGTCGCGACTCCTCTCCGCGGGATCCCGCCCCTGGCTTAACATGACGAGGATCTCCTCGATCTCGACCGCGCCCTCGTCGTCCATGGCCCGCTCCGTCGGCGGCACCACCTGCGCGGTCCGCGTCCTCTCCCGCGCTGACGGCTCGTTTCGCTCCAGGCGCTCGCATACCACCGACGGCACCCCGTGCGGCGGCGCCCCCCAGCTCTCCATCTCCGCCACGTCGATCTCGACCTCGCCGTAGAGCGGGTTGTTCTCCTTAAGCCAGACGAGCGCCCTCTCGACCGCCCGCCGCCTTACCGACAGGAGGCCCGACAGGTCGCGTGGCCCCGGCTTCTCGGCCCCCTGCCACGAGACATGGATCTCGTCCATAACCCGGACTAGCGGGTGCGGGAGCACCTGGTCACCAGCCCTGCACGTCATTCGGGAATACCGTGATATGGCCCTTGACGTGCCTCGGATACCTCACGCTCTGCCTCTGCCCGCCGGGGATGCTATACCTCGTCACGAAGCCGTAGCACGAGTTGAGCGAGATCAGCTTCTCCTCGACCGGCGTGAGGCCCTTGAGCTCGTCGGGGTACGCGTGCTCGCAGCCGAGCCGGCCGTGGAGGTGCATGCCAGGCGAAGCCCTCACGCCCGAGGCACCGCGCGCACTCTGCGCATACCGGCACCGCCCGGCCTCGGGGAAGCAGCTTCGGCACGCGAATAGAGACCGGCCGCCCTCCGTGACGGGGCTCCGCCATGGCCACCTCTCCACGCCATTTCCCTAGCTCCTCTCTTGACCGCTTCCGGTAACATACCTTGCAGGTCAAGACCGGTAGCGTGCCGGCGTCGTGGAACGCCCGGTAGAACCTCTGCACCGTTCGCACCTGCCTCGCGCGCGGCACCGGCATGCACCACGTCTGCTCGTCTGCGAGCCTCTCGCCCGCCGCGAACTCCTCCTCGAGGTGCTGCAGTACGCTGGCTAGGTCCTCGGCCTGCAGCTCCCTCCGTCTTGGGGTTTTCTGGCCCACCCGGACCCGGGAGCATTTCCCTTCGGCCTGCCCGCCGGGGGTGCGGCCCTTCCTCTTCCGCTCTCCCCCGGGCTGCCGATTCATTGTCCTGCCTGCGCCCCGTTAGCCGTCTTCATGCGCCTTGGCCTCGCTCTGCGACCGTACCGGCTTGTTGGCTGTCCGTGCTTCCGACGCTCGGTCCCGCCTCGGTGGGGGGCGCCGCGTGGACTCCCGCCCTCAGAACCGGCCGAGCCCGGATGTGCCGCGGCGCCTGCTGGCCTCTGGGCGGGCCGCCCTCGCTCGGCGGCGGTGTGAGACCGGCTGCGATCGGTGTCGGCCGGGGCTGGATACGCCGCAACGCCTGCTGCCTTGCGTCGGCTTGGAGTCTCTGCTGCCTCGGTGGTCTTCCCCGCCTGCGCTTCGCGCCCTCGTCGACACTCGGCTGCGGCGTGGTGTGGCCGTTCCACCCTATTCCCATATCCGCTTCGCCCTGCCTAGGCTGGGCGATGTCGCCGCCGTTGGCAGTCGCACCTATCGGTCTCCAAGCGTCCCCGCCCGGACCGTCCTCGACCGGCGTCTCCAAGGCGCCACGCGGTCCGTGGGCTTCCTGCGCCGGGCTCGCGCCCCCCCCTGCTCCGCGCGGTCCCCCTCCAGCAGCTGACTCCATCGCGATACTGGCTGCCACTACCTTTATAAACCTCTCATCTACCTCGTGCTGCTATGCTGACGTGGAGCCTCGTGAGTCGGACGTCGACGTATACGTCCTTTCCTGGGCTGCTCGTCTTGCGCTTATGTTGCTACTCGGCATGCAGCTTATGCGTAACGGACACTTTACATTTACAATGACCTATGTACTCTATATAGAGCTCCGTAGTACGTCTATAAGCATGCTGCTGCTCTTCACATTATACCGGCGCCGACTTTCCATTAAGCCTACCGGGAACTGCCTGCTGCTATCGCATGCAACGGCCTAGGCCGGTCTTTACATGTAAGTCGCTACGGCACCTTCCTCTTACTCGTGCTTTACATTCTACGCTCTCCTTGTTATCTGGAGCTATGTCGCTAAGCGCCTTGGTTCGAGGTTAGATGCTTGCATGCTGGCTTTTAACCCCATGTCTTAAACGTGTCGCCAATGAAGCTGCCCTATTCTGTGACAATATGGCTTCCCGTATGTCGGTTGTCTTAAAAAACCCCTCTATCCCTAAGCAGACCGCCTTTTTGCCCTTTTCCCCTCGCTTCTCATAGCATTCTCTAGACAACGCTCTTTCCATGTTCTCCTAACCGCTAAAAATTTTCCCGTGTTTCCGTTAATATCTATGCTCGTGTTCTGTAAGGCGGCCCCTGGCCCTTCACTTCCCGCCGGTTTCTTCCAACGATACAAAAATAGGAAGAGTTCCTGCTCCTATTCTGCCCCGCTTAAACGATTCAAAACGGCAGCGTCGCTCTTACGCTATACAACCTCGCCATGTCTTCGTCCCCGTCTTCGGCCGCCTCTCCGCCGCATCTGAAGAGGCCCCTTAGTACTGGCAAGAGCGTCGACGGTGACATGTCTATGATGTTCTTCGCCCAGCCCGACTGCCCCTCGAGGTTCGCCCACTAAGACGAGCACCGCATCAAGAACCTTAACGCCGAAGGCTATCGCCCGTGTCTTCCTGCCCGTCCCCTCGTAGCTGCTCCCGGCCGAGTACGCGCCCCTCCGCGCGGAGCCGGATGCCGCCGACCCGGCTGTCTCTCTCTTCTTTAGCCTAGGTAAACCTCTCGATTTACGGCCAGCCGGTCGTCGACCCCGACCGGTCCGAGCATCGGTTCTTCGTTAACAGCCACGTCCACTCCCATGCCCTCCCCTGGGGGGTTCGAGTGCCGCGACGGTCTCCACGCCGGCCCGGGCGATACCGTCGTCTACAATTCCCACGCTCGTCGTCCGCGACCATGGCTACCATCCATGCCCCCCGCCCTGTATGTGTCTCCTCCCCTGCCGCGTCGCTGACTTCTCCTTGTGGCGTCCTCCCGCGCTCCTTGGCCTCCCGAGGGCCACTTCCCCTCGGCCCCTCCCGTCGTCTCCTTCCACGGCGTCGTCGCCGGCGCCGGCCTCTCCCTCTTGCGACGGGACCTCCAGCCCGGTCTCGACGCCGTCCGTCTCCGCTGCCGGCCGGGTAGTCGACCGTGTCTTCGTTCCTCAAGGCTTTTGTGCGCAACCCAGGGGGTTGCCTTACCTCGTTGGGCTAGGTCCTCACACCTCAAGAATCAAGGCTGACCAACTGCAGGGCATACCCACCTTGGTTCCCACCCCCCCACAAACCTATCGGATATTCGGACCAGATTGCCGCTGGCAGGTGCAGCACATTTGAACGCTGGAGCCTGAAAGATGTGGACAAGCGCGAAGTGTTTGCTTGCAACAGTACATCAATACCATGCTACTGTACCATGTGGCCATTCTCTCCAGAGACCAAACCGCAATAAATACCATGTTTCGTCGTGTGCTCAATTTCTACGTTCCATACTAGGTCCGCACCATCATAATAAGTCCGAACCTCAATTCATCACGTCTTGTTGATCATGGCTATGACGATTCCGTCCAGTTCTCGCATCTTTCAACAAATCGAAGATATACAAATTCGAATTTCACAGTGCGAGCAAGAATTAAAGTCCCACAAGTCACCACGATTCGAGTATGAGGAGAGACTGGCCGATGTCAACACCCGCATTGATGAGGCTTGGGAACGTCTGTTTTCAGGTCAAAGCCCGATCGATCGTTCCGAGCTCCAGAGCAAGATTCTGAATTATGGCCGTGAGTTGGAGAGGATTGAAAGTGAACATAAAGAGGGCCTCGAGGGGTGCAGAGGCTTCTTACCAGTGTCGTATCGATGCTGTTTGGAAAGACTCGTGCAAAGGGCTTATCGCAGTATTGGAATCTATGCTGCTTCCAAATACACCGCAAGAAGCAGAAGACAGGGAGCTCCAGCAAACACTTCCGAATGGGTCAACTAGAGATCAGCCGAAAGGCTCTCAACCGGCAGCACCCGTCGAATCAGTTGGGCGTCGTGGGCCTCCTGGGGGGCCTTGCACGGAGACCACTGACACCTGCGGCAAAAGCAACAGGGTAAGTTGCCCATGCCCGACCGAAAAGGACTATATTGACGAATCAAGCCTAAACGAAGGCTCGATAGGATGATTCAGCCGCAGTGGAAGAGGCGACGAATCACTGAGAGCCAAGAGCGGCATAGTGACGATTCACTGAACGAGAATGACGGGCAGTTGCAGGATGATATAGCCAGATATCTCACCCCTGGCGAAGTCTACCTTGCTTTCAAATCCGACGCCTGGTCGCCAGTACTTCTCTTGCCCACAGACAATTTGCACGATGTTGGCCTTCCAATTACAATCGAGGCATTGGGTCTGACGAAAAACGTCCCGCACTGTTATGAGTACGACCGGGAAGAGAAAAGCTTTCGATGGCGAAAGGAGTACGAGGGTGGCGGACGTCTTTTCGCAGAGCGGCAATACCCCATCATATTTTTTGATGGCTTGGATTTTCCGGAGAGAAGCTCAGTCGGCTGGGTCGCTGCCAGAGACCTCCGAAGCTTCGACTTAATGGATGCCAATATTGACAAGCGCATCAAACACGTCGGGCGGGTTCGCCAGTTTGTCAATGAGCGGGAAAAGTCACGAGCAAAGGATAAGGATGATGCATCTGCCTCTCAACGAGCAAGGTCTGTTGATGGTGAGTCCCTGGTCTTGATGAGAAAACCCCAATTCTAACACACTATTCCCAGGTGACGATACTAGGAGCTTAGGGGCTTTCCGTTTGACGCCCAAAACCAGCTGCGGAGATCAATCTCAGTCGGGTGAAATCGGATTATGCGCGGCCAAAAAGGACCCGAAGGTCTCAATCGACGGGGAATGCTCAACTGACGATTCGGAACCAAGACTTGGGTGCGATCCCAATCGAGAAACAGCGAGCTGCCCCAAATCCGAGCAGGATCGCGATGGCGACCGCCCCAAGGAGGACTTCGGTCTTGCACCTCATTCGAAGGCTCCCATATCAACTATGGGTTCGACCTCAGGATCTGACGATGGTACTCCATGCAGCGAAGGGATTACGAGGTCACGCCTGCAGGATCATCTTGCTTCTGATACTACGATTATAGTGCGCGATGAGCGGCCACCAAACACTGCCCAAGACGGACCTGAGCAAATTTTGTTGGACCACGGTACGTCGGTGTCGCACTGGGAAAAACAAGGAGACTCTGACTAGATACTAGACGAAGCTAGAACTGCGACGCCTCAACACCATTCGAAGGCGACGGCCGATGCGCAGAATTCGTCACGCTTCTACGAAATCCTGGATGTTGAGCCTAACAGCGAGCGAGAAGCTCAACCCAATGGGCCGGACGTGGGATGCCAACTTGAGGGTGTTGGCGCGAATGATTGTCTGCCTCATACTCAGACTGCTACTGCACCTACATCCACGTCAGATTTGGATGATTGTGAACATGAGAAACAAGCTCTTCAACCCGAAAACATGGATAAACTTTGCAGTGACGGGCTGCGATTGGCTACTGCGACGCGGACGTCTCAAGGTTTCCTTCAACTAGCGACAAATCGGGAAGGACTGGCATTACGCGCACACCCCTTACAAACGTTGAGACCCACGATTTTCAGGTACCAGCAAGCTAAGTTTGGGACCCAGACACGGGACAATGGCGACGAACAGTCTGGAGACGTAAATCAGTGTTTGCGGCTGCGAGACAACGCGGCTCTGCGGCGCCATGAAGACTCGCTGGCATTCCTGGACGGACCTGACTCTAGTGAGTACACAGTCAGCCTCGTCAGATCTCAAATCATTGATATGGGGCGACTGACACGTACACCGCTATATATGTTATGGCAGTGACGCAGCAACCTAACTATTCGATGACGTCCAGATTTAATGGATGGCCCCAACTTCTCCCACAGAATCTTCTTACGGAATTGACTCAAGTCTCAGGGTGGAAGATCCTGGCCCACATGTATTCATGGATCGTTACAAAATGTATTGTTGCCCCTTGAGTTGTGATAATAAGTGGCGATATTTGGCCTGGTTTACGAAGCATTTGCTGCGTCATCACTCCGAAATACAGTAGATGCTGTCTAGCTGTTTTTACTGCACATTGCTAAACTTCCATTGATTGAAATAGGCCACATCAGCCATGCTAGCAGCGGTGCTGTTGTGATGTGCATCTCACTTTTGGCTGGGCGGTCCATGCGACAAAGTTCTCTGCGGACTACTATGCCCTGCTCTACCAGCTGCAGATTGTCTTGGATGATAATAAGTCCGCCTTACGACGAAGAGATATAGCCGCCAAGTGTAAGTGAGAAGATAAGAGAAGAGAAAGAGGTGGAAGATGTGGGGTGCTTGGCGACTGATAGTAGACGTCAACCCCAAGAACCGGTATTAAGGCAAGTTCGCCCTGCCGCCTGGAAGTGGGAAGTTGTTGGAGTGATGCTGTACAATAAGTAAGTCCTGTCGATACTTCTCACCTTGGGAGCATTTCGGCGTTTTCGTATGGGATGGAGACGCTAACGATCTGACCTGCCCGCCAGGGCGGCCATGATTATCTCACGGAGGATGAGCCGAGCAAGCATGAAGATCGGGGACTGAAGAACTCTTGATTCTATATATAAGTGATAGTGAGAAGTTGGCTTCTTATACTTGTGACGTTGGGTTGAGTGGCGATATCGCCACTCAGGCAGCCTAGATGACGATGTCATCTAAAGGTTCGAATCCATCACTAATATGGCAGTACGAACAGCCACGACCTAAAATATGGGCCAGCTGTGCGAATATGGAAATCAGATTGTTGGAGGCTGATACATCCTGTGTGACTATGTTCGTTATCTGGTTAAACGGAGACAATGAGGAAGGCTATCCCATCGAAGTCTTCAATGAACGCGGCTGTAGGGTTCAGTCGACTTACGTTTCAGCAAGTAAGAAGCGCTATGCCGTTACGTGTGCTTCGTCTCCTACATAGAACAACGACCTTGGTGCCCGAGCCTGTCCGAATCTCACGTTAATGCTAAACAGTGGCGCAAATGCCGAGGCCTCCAGCCCCGACACCAGTTGGAGAAATCGTTCCGTGGTATCAGACAATAAATGGCGAGCGACCCGACGATGAGTCGATGACCCGGCATACTGTACCAGTACCGCCCATAGGTTCTCGCACCTCGTGATGATCCGAGGGCTGAGTCCCCATGTGTTCTTGCCGCGCGGTGATCAAGACGACAGACGGGATGCGACGGTGCGAGAAGTGGATTTTGGCTGCGACAAGACAGCAGCAGGATCGCAGCTTGTCTCGCAACACCTTCTCAAAAAGCCGCCCCACTGCAGCCGGTACGGGATCTTTACACCATCTTCTACAGATAATGATTGCCGGACCTACAGAGTTCTTGTCCCTCACGTATTGCAACGTCGGGGGCGGCGGGGTAAAACCGTCTTGGGTCCCTTACAGTGCCGTTTTACAAGCCGTCAAACCACACCTAAACAGGCACCAAATGTCTTGAAGTTCCGGCAAGTCGCTGCGCAACAGCCGGAAGGCCTCCTCCCCCGACCATCTTTTTTGGAGTAGTGGTGTCGTTACGGTACAGTGAGGCTCAGGTGCAGAGCACCGAGTTTTAGTGCCCACTAAACTCGGAATTAAATCCTACGCTGTTGCAGGGCCTTATGTAATTGTCAACTGCGTGAGTTTTGCAAGAAAATTGGCCAAACCGAAATGCCATTCTGTCGGGATGGATGCCACACTTGACGAGGGCATGAGCGTATCATTGGTAAGTCAACACACTGCAGCCAAGACCTGCTACAGGCGATGAACGCCACTCGTAGCGAAGCTCCAGAACACAATGCTCAGAATTTCTTTACGTATTACTTCGTGAATTCGGAAGGAGGTCAATTTGTGAGTACCTACCAGCCCGCGGCATTCCATGTTGTGATGTCCAGCCAAGAGTGGTCTACGCGACGGCATCCATAAAAAATTAGCCAAAGTTAGCTGTTGATCTACACTTCTTGGTACGACATACGACCCATCCAGTGATGAGACGAATGAAGTGCCTAAGCCCGAATATATTTGAGAACAGGGCGAGATTAAGCACAAAAGACATAACTTGCAGCTCATCTAGATTGAACATGTAGATCTTCACGTACGAAGCGACCGTGGTTAAATGGAAAATAGTATTTCTTCCGCTGGATTTGCGCAACTTCGTCAAAAGGAGTCGCAGCGGGCAACTACTCGAGGAGTCGCCCCAATGAAGACAGCGCACATTCAAATACCCGACAGTGTCTTGCGACTGGCTCATGCTAGACGTCGAGTTTTTGTCATGTATGAGACCGATAAGAGAATTCGGTCTAGTAAAGACGACAGAAGGAAGCAAGCAAGAGCTCGAATGTCTCGAAGGGAGAGTCACCCACAAAGCGGGAGCTTCGCAGCCGAGGTCGAAAAAGCAGAAGCCACACTTCGGCTAACATCTTGGTTCCTCTCCGCTCTAGCGAGCCGGGAAAACGCATGTTCAGTGGTGGCACAAGAAAGCGACAGAAGCAGGCACGAGGCTGAAGAGGCAATTTCCAAGTGTAAACAAGAAACGATAGAAGCAATACGAACCTTTGTGTAGGATTTTCCGAACATGATGCTTAACTCTTAGTCTACCCGGTATGCCTCTGTTTTGCATACTTGATACGGAGGAGTCGAAAACAGCAGGTATACCTCCCCACTTGCGCTATAACGCATCTAAAATTCACTGCGCTGAGGCGAACGTACATGATAAGCGCGTGAAACGCAACGAAAAGTCACCCGCTGATGGATCCTTTTCGAGAGATCTTGAAAGATGAATCTCCAACCTCATCCTGATAGAGCTCCATGGTAGTGAAGTAGAGAAAGGGGGGGAAGCGCTTTCGCGTCTTGAAAGCCCCTCACACTACCCCCCTCTTTTCTGGTGGCAGATCTGCGGTCAACTCGTGCCTTGGCTAATCCATAAAACATATAAGGAACTATTATTTCTACACTACGTGTGGGCCTACACGTTTACTGGGGCGTAACGGTTACCTGACAAATATCGTTGCGTTGCCCCCCCTCAGGATTTATCTCACGGTAAAATCAGCCTTATTAGCCACAGAAGGTGCCAATTTAACAGACAAGTCAGCCTATCAATTTGTCTGCTGCGTGCGGGAGCAATACAGTATGCAAGCCGGGCGCGAAAGCTTGTGAGTGTTTCTACTCCAGTGAGGCAGAACTGGCGACCAAACCATTTTATTCGTCGCTATCGCACAAATCCGAGAGATGCAAAGTCATTTACTCACCCTTCAACCTCGGCAATCCAGACAAGCTCGCCGCAGTCGCCTTCAGACTTCTATCTTCATCCGTCACGAACTACGCATTCCCAAACTCGGACGTAGGGGTCGCCGTGGGTCAGTGGGCTTGAGCTCTAGTTCCTCGCGTTCTAATTCTTTGCGCCCAAACTGACGCCGTCGGCAGTCTCGAATTGCGGTCTCTACAGCCAAAGCCTATGCTCCTAATAGTGTGGCCAGTGCGTTTGGACCCCTCAAACTGCTCATTCAGTGCGTGTGACTTGGCCGCACTACACTACCAGTGTGCCTGAGATGTTCAAACTGAACTATTAGTCTGTTCGTCACGGCCAAACTGAACTACAGTGCAAACTGTGGTCTACACTATTAGTGTGAACATATAGTCTGACATTTGGCATTGCACCCGTCGCACCTGCAAGGTTGCCTTCAAGTTTTCCAGCGCCCTCACCGAATTGCCTGCCTTACCTGCAGCTTTCCTCGCCCCTTTCCTGAATCAGAGGCTCAGACCCGGTACCGGTGGCTTCCGGATCGATATAGCGACACTGGAATCCATAATTAGACAATCTTCATCTGACGAAACAGAAATCTTACCTCGGATGGGAGTATCAGAGCGCTCCGGTCCCAGGATCGTAGGCATTCCAAGAGATTTAAAGTTTCAATGTTCATAGATCCTCGCTGGTCGGTTACCGAAAGTTTGGCTTTGGAGAAGAGCCGCTCTGTCTCAGTAGACATAGGCGCAATCGATAGAAGGTCAATGGCCATCAAAGATAAGTTAGGAACCGTCGCCGCTGCGCTGACTCTAACCACCATTTCAACGGATCCGATACCATCACCACAGGCTCGCGGCAATACACTTCGTACTCGTCGTCATCCATGTTGAAAATCGTAGCCTTTTGCTCTTTCATCCACATTTTGTACCCATTTGGTCGTCTTTGTCACGGCACCAACCTGGGTTCCGTCACGTGCATCCCTGTACTTAGTCTAGACTCTGTTCCACCTCCGTAGTTTGCCCTCCTCACAGCACAACATAGATCTTCCCTGGCATCCTAGGTCTGCCCCGTGATAGTTTGTGCTGTCTACTATCGGCTGCGCCGCCATCCCGATTGTACACCTAACCAGAGTTTTCCCATTCGACACCCCAAGTCCCACGCAACGAGATCACCACGCCGCGAGCGGCCCAGCCCTACCCTCGATCACTGGAATTTTTCCCCGCCCTGCCAAGACCATGATGAATCCCCAGAACCAGGCGGGCGCAACCCTCGCCGACGCTATTCATGATACCTTCCCAAACATCGCAGCTGCCCTTCACCGGGTCCAAGCTTGTGACTGCTCCAGCCTCGCCTCTATGCTCCAAGACCCAACAGACGACATGTACAAGAACCAGGTCGAAGCTCTCTGCCGCGCGGCCGAGAGCGCAATGGACCACTTCATCAACCAAAACGCCAATCTAGAGAGACGAATCGCGGAATTAGAAACACACCTCGCCCAAGCCCAAGGAACACCCCGGACCCAAGACTCCCTTGTCACCCTCGCCGATGAACTAAGAACTCTGCTGAGCGCCAGACCAACAGAATTGCGCCCTGAGTCACGCCCCCGTCGAATGATGCCAAACCCCAACCCATTTGAAGGCGATGAGAAGGATGTTAAGAAACGCCAACAGCAATATGTCAACTGGCGCTCTCAAGTGCTCGAACTTTGCTGTGGATAAGAGTTTCTTTGTCACCGATTTTATCAGAATCCAACACATCGCTGGCCTGCTTGGAGGATCGGCCTCGAAGCTCTACCGCAAGAAATTCGATTTCATTATTGAACATGAGGAAAACCAAGCCATATGGCCATGGCAAACCCATACCGACTGCCTGGCGGAGATGAACAAACAGTATGAAACGCTTGATCTGACACTTTCGGCTTCACAAGCCTTTGATAACCTTTGGATGGGCAAGAAACCCTTCCAAAACTTCATCGCTGACTTTGCCGCCCTGGCCGAGGAGTGTGGAAAGACTGAGACCCAGAAAGTTGAGTCCTTGCAGCTCAAGGTCTCTCAGGAACTCGCCAACGAAATGACGCACCAGCTTGTCCGCCCTGCTAGAGACAACTTCTCTGAGTGGTGTAAAATGTACCAGACGATCTACGATAACCTGTTGGCCAAGGACCACCAGGACAAACTGCGCTCAGGACGTCTAGGTAGTCGACCCTACCAAGGCCAAACACACCAGCAATTCCAACAACGCCAACAGGCTGACGCTGGCGACCCGATGGTTTTGGACGCTACGCGCCAAGCTAGACCTACGAGGAGGACTGCTTTACTAATAACCTCTGTTTGTACTGCAAAAGCCCGGCCACTTTAAAAGCGATTGTGATGAAAAGAAGCAGGCCGACGCAAAACGCAACCAGGCCTTTGGAACATATAAACCTAGCTATGGGTACAGTAGAGGAATGGGACGCGGCCAACCTGGACAAAACCACCGCCCCTACAATTACCAAGCCAGCCAACAACACAACCCACCCGTTTCCCAGCCCCAATTCCTGCGTATCCCCAGCCTTTCCAAGACTGCGATCCTCGAACAAGGCTATATTATAGCAGACGAGGAAACAAGGACTACACCAACCCCACTCCTCTGTCAACACCCCAGCCTCACTTGAGCACCGGGAAAGAATAACCTCCGCCCAGAGCCGCGGACGGAGGTCAACGAAGAACCAAGGATGCCGGAATGGATACGTCGCTGTCTCTCGAGCCACAAACCTATCAGACTTAGGTCAATAGACAGCAAATCTCTACTCATTCAAGCTACCTTAGTCCCCGCGCATACCGACCCCATTGAGGTGACGAGCCTTATTGATAGCGGATGCTCTGCACGGGCATTTGCGGACCGTAGCTTGTCAAGACCCGGAATATCGTAACCCAACCAACGCCAACAAAACGAGCCCTCCTCGCCGACGGGAAACCGGCTGGCTCAATATCGGAATACTTCATTGCACCAATATTGATAGGATTGCACAATGAGCTCTGCCTATTCTTTGTTACAGACCTCTCCCCGGACACCCCTATCATCCTTGGACTCCCCTGGCTGCAACGCCACAACCCAAGCATCGACTGGTCCAGTATGTCCCTGACATTCACATCCCCATACTGTCACAACTTTTGTTGCCCCCAAGGAGTTCAGAACGCATCTGCACCGGTGCTGCCCGACCCGCCCGGCAACTACCACGACCTACCAATCCCGGGTGAACCAGCCCGACGAGTCTCGTTCGACCTACCAACCCCTGGCAAACCAGTCCGACGAGCCTTGTCCTACCAGCCTCCAATTGTCGAAGATTCAGAGGACGACCATAGCAACTGCTCCAGCACTCTCACACATCAGTCCTCAACGGTCGACGACTCAGAGGACGATACTAGCAACTGCTCAAACACTAGCGAAGATGCCCCCGTCATGACATTTGAAGCAACGCCAATATCTAGCAAGCCAGCGCGACGAGTCTCATTCTATCAGCCTCCAACAGTTGAAGACTTAGAGAATGATAGTAACGACTGTTCAACGCTGGCGAAGATGCTCCGGTTATGACATTTAAAGCAACGCTGACCCCAGGCGCAAATCACTACCGTACCTGCAACCCGAAGAATCACCAAGGCCCCGAGTGCCGAGCCCAGATGATCCCCAATCAGCCGAGAACTAAACCAGCCCCGACTCGTATGACTGCTGGCAGCCGTCATACAAAGCCACCACCAAGACCTCCGCTACCTCCACTCAGCGTGCCACTTCCAAACCCATCTCGCGACACCGCCCTAGAACCATCAGACCGACCAGACCTATCGAACATACGGCTTACAAACGCTACAAACTTCGTCCAATTCTGCCGCGACCCAACCGTTGAGGCGATGAAAATGACATGGGATGAGCTTGATCGACTGGATAGTAGTCGCCAGCAGATGAAATACCGCCTACCTGACCTCCCAGAGGAATATTATAAAATGGTAGTCCTTGGTATAAGCAGCAAAAACATGGACTTCAGCTGGAAGGAAGCAAGACAGCTCTTTCCTAATGAATTGCACGACTTTGTTGACGAATGCTACTCACCAGCCCGCCTAGCCAAGATCACAGATGCCGATATCGAAAAGTTCATGAAAGGCAAGCCGGAGCGAACAGCGGATGACGTCTTGAAGAAGCTCCGATATGGCTCCGCGACCTCTACGATGTGTTCCTACCTAAGCTCGCAGACAAACTTCCCCGCAGCGCTCATGGGACCATAAGATAGAGCTTCTGACTGGAAAAGAACCTCCGTACCAAAAGACACGCCCAATGAACCCACAGGAACTCAAAGTCATACGGAAATGGCTGGATGATAACCTGTCTAAAGGGTTCATACGGGAGTCCCGAGCCCGCTGTGCAGCACCACTACTCCTTGCCGCGAAGCCAGGAGGTGGTGTCCGGATCTGCCAGGACTACCGCGGTCTTAACAACATCACCATAAAGAACCGCTACCCACTGCCTTTGATCCGTGAGACTCTAGATGCCCTATGCAACGCCAAAGTCTATACGAAACTAGACATTATCGCCGCATTTAACAAAATCCGCATCGCCGAGGGAGATATATGGAAAACAGCCTTTATCACACGGTTTGGCTTGTTTGAAACATTGGTTATGCCGTTCGGCCTCTGCAACGCCCCAGCAACCTTCCAGAACTACATCAACCATACCTTATTCGACCTTCTGGATAAGTTCTGCACCGCCTACCTTGACGATATCTTGATATATTCAACAGATAAGAAGCAACATAGGGAACACGTCCGCGAGGTAGTCACACGACTTCGCGATGCAGGCCTCCAGATTGATATCGACAAATGCGAATTCGAAACAACTAGGACGAAATACCTTGGGCTGATCGTTACGCCTGGAGGTGTCGAGATGGACCCCGACAAGGTCTCTACAATCCTCAACTGGAAGCCACCAACAGCACTCCGCGACTTACAAAGATTCCTCGGCTTTGCAAACTTTTATCGCCGCTTTATCCGTGACTTCTCCAAGATCACCCGGCCATTAAATGACCTCCTGAAGAAGAGCACAATCTGGTCCTGGGAGGTAGAACACCAAACCGCCTTTGACCGACTGAAAGCCGCATTCTCCGTAGCACCGGTTCTAGCCTTATATGACTATAATAGGAAAACTGTACTTGAAACAGACGCCTCGGACTGGGCGTCTGGAGGAGTCTTGTCCCAGTATGATGATGAAGGCGTACTGCGACCTGTAGCCTACTTCTCGTCAAAACACTCGGCCCAGGAATGCAACTACGAGATCTACGACAAGGAACTACTGGCGATCATTAAGGCTCTGGAAGAATGGAGGCCTGAGCTTCAAGGGACCCAAGAACCCTTCGAAGTCATCACGGACCATAAGAACCTTGAATATTTCACAACAACCAAGGCTCTAAACCAACGACAAGTCCGCTGGTCCGAGTTCCTGTCAGGCTTCAACTTCCGTATTGTTTATCGACCAGGCACCAAAGCCGTCCGTCCAGATGCGCTAAGTCGAAAGCCAGAAGACCAACCCAAGCGCGCAGACACAAACGACGACCGCATTAAGAACCGCCAACGGACCATTCTGCCAGAACACATCTTTGACCCAGAGGCCCTGGCTGAACTGACTCGAGAAGTCAATGGGGAATTCGACCTCGCTGCCGCCCCGATAGACGTTATCATGCCAGCCATGGACAAACCCATCGATGAACTGGTCGATAGAGCCTACGAAAATTCAGAGATGGCCCAAGACATGCTGACGGCCCTGAGAGACGCATCAACCCACCGCCGCTGGCCCAAGAAATGGCGAAAGGAACTTCGCGTAGCAATGGCAGACTGCTCTGTCATTGGGAATCGCATATACTACCGCGAGAAGCTCTTCATACCACCCAACGATCAGGAACTAAAGACCCAGGTTATTTACCGTACGCACTCCACAGGCCCTGCAGGACACCCCGGGCGGATAAAGACAATCGATTTGGTTAGCCGAACTTACTGGTGGCCACGCATAACCCGAGACATCGAGGAATATGTTAAAGCCTGCGAGCTGTGTGATCGGGTCAAAGCCTCAAGGTCGGCACCCCCAGGATTCCTCCAACCACTGCAAGTGCCATTCCAAGCTTGGTCAGATATATCCATTGACTACATCACGCCCCTGCCAGAATGCGAGCGCCATGGCAAAACATACCAGCATGTCCTCGTTGTTGTGTGCCGATTGACAAAGATGCGCCATTTCATCCCAGTTGTAGGCCTAACAGCCGAAGAACTAGCCTCTGTCTTTATCAGCCGAGTCTATTGCCTCCATGGCACACCCGACAATGTCATCTCCGACCGCGGTTCCCAATTCATCTCCGAGTTCTGGCGCCAAGTCTCCGACCGCCTAGGAGTTCGACTCCGCCATTCTTCCGCCTTCCACCCAGAGACAGACGGACAAACGGAACGGATCAACGCAGGCATCGAACAATATCTGAGAGCATTCATGAACTTCCACCAAGACGACTGGGTCGACTGGCTCCTCTTGCCGAGTTCGCCACGAACAACGTTACATCTGAGACCACGGGAGTATCACCATTCTTCGCTAACTATGGGTTTCACCCCAAACTCGGCACTGAACCAACCAAGCCACTGCCGCCAAACCAGTCCGCAGCCCAACGGCGAGTTCCTCAAAGCAAACAACATCGCCGACCGCTTTGAGCGTATTATCACTCAGCTGAAAGCCCTTGCAACCCAAGCCGCCAGACGCTACGAGGAGAACGCCAACCTCAATCGAGAAGATGCTCCTCAGTACGCCGAAGGTCAAGAAGTCTACGTAAGCACGAAGAATATGAAGACAAACCGGCCGATGAAGAAAGGAGACGACAAGTGGGCAGGACCATTCCCAATTCTGAAAGTCTACCCTCGTTCATGCTTGCTTAAACTCCCCGAGGGAATGAAGATCTTTCCCGTGTTCCACAACTCGCTCCTACGACCGAAACCAGAAGCAAATGGTCTACCCGGCCAAGACGTTATCAACGAGGCCGAGTCAAAAAACATCCGAGGACGAGTCCTAGAACGCGATGACGAGACAGGAGAACTAGTCGAAAAATGGCTATTTGACGGGCTACTAAATAGCCGCAGAGACGTTGATGGCCTACATTACCTAGTCAAGTGGAAACACTATGACCCTACCTGGCAACCGGCTAGAGACCTCAAAGGACATAACCAAGTACTCCTCGACTTTCATAGAGTTCACCCAAACAAGCCAGGCCCCCCGGTCTGGGCAAGGAAGTAAAGGGCACAACTATATACTTTGTGCCCAGGCCGCTCTTAGTCGTTTAGGCTGTTCGAGGACGAACAGCCGTTTGGGAAGGGGGTACTGTCACGGCACCAACCTGGGTTCCGTCACGTGCATCCCTGTACTTAGTCTAGACTCTGTTCCACCTCCGTAGTTTGCCCTCCTCACAGCACAACATAGATCTTCCCTGGCATCCTAGGTCTGCCCCGTGATAGTCTTGCACTTGGCTCTTGTGCGGAAGCTGGTCGAAGAACAGGGCAGGGAGTGGTAGATTTGTATGCCTCCCTCCAGAGCTCCCCTACCCGAGCTTTAGCTCTCTCAATCCATTCATTCTTGTCGTCCCAAGTCTTCTCCATATATGTCCACTTGAGGGAAGGATTTAATACCGTCGCTGCTGAATAGACTGGCGAATCTTCCGTCAATTCGTAGTAGTCGGCTAATTTGGCCCATGTCGTCTCCATCATTGTAGCCAAGTGGGGGATGGTAGTGGCCTCCTTGGCCGCTTCAATGTGGTGCAAGAGATAGTCCATGGTTGGCAGAACGTCAGAGATGGAATTGCCGGTGCCTTCGTTGGCCATTGTAGCGTCGTGAAAAGGTTCGAGAAATTTGTGAATTTCAGCCAGAGTAACCCAGTCAGAGGAAGTCAGAGCATCGTCTTGCAGGGCAGGCTCTTGAGCACAAAATATGGTGATGCCTTGACGGACTTTTGTTCTAAGGGCCCACTCAACCATGCTATGCCACGAATTCCAACGAGTGTCATTGTCGCGCCGTAGCCGTAGACCGTCAGTGAGACCAGTGAATGTCTGAAGTCGCTGGGAGTCCAGGTGATGTAGACCACGATATTATGCAATTTGCCTATCGCCCCTCGCTTTCTCCATTGCTTAACTTCGTCGTCGGACGGTCCGTGGTAGGAATCTGCTGTGGGTGGTCGCTTTCCTATGAGGAACTCCATCACGGCCAGGTTAATGATGTGGCCGAAACAGCGAAGTCGGTGAGGAAGAGGATCGTAGAAAACTTCGAACTCGTGCTCCAAGTCGTCGGAGACTTTGTCGATCATGGTATTCATGTTGGTGGCATTATCCATCATAAAGTATCCAACTTTGTCGCTATTCCATATTCTCGTATGAACTCCATGATGGCTTCTGCCATGTTCTCGCCGCTGTGCTGTCCTTCCAATTCTTTTATCCTCACCACCAGGGACTGCAGACCATGATCTTCGGTAACGAATTGAACTGTAAACCCTATTACGCCCAAACAATTCGGCGATGTCCAATTGTCTGGAACAATGTGGATTGACGAGAGAGCATTCTGCAGAGCTCGCTTTACAAACTCCTTTTTGTTGTCGTAGCCCCATTGTAAGTCATTTTTAACCGTGTCGCCGGACCTCGGGAGGATCATCGGCGGCCGGACGGATATACCGGATAAAGTCGCGAAAGGCCGGCTGCTCAACATGAGCAAATGAGAGGCTGCAGGCTACTGTATAACGGCAGTACAGTTCGCGGAGAGTCGCTTGGTCTAGGGCATCTACCTCTGCGGTCGCCTTGCGTTTCTTGGTGGAGACCAAAGTTCCATTGGCCAGGAATGCGGTGATGTCTCCGAGGCGACTTTGCGTCACTTCCCGCCTGGTCTCCTGCCGCCCAGAAATAATGATATTGTGCTCCTTTCGCAAATGATTGACGATGGCGGACGACCCACCACAGTAATTGTATTTCTTCGCTCTTTTCTTGTCGAAGCAGGGCTGGCAATGCCACCATTTCGTTCCATTGGAATCAACCCAAGCTGCCGGAATACTCCTACCTTCTTCTCTTCGACAATACTGCCAAATAGGAGACGTCTTTCGGCGGTAGACGCTAAGGACAGGCGAAGAGGATGGTGCCGGTGACGGGAAGCCGCTGTCCCACTAATAAGGTCAGAATCATCTATATAGGTGCCAGCCTCGGGTGATCCACGATGGAGGACATGATCCTCTAGGGAATGCACTAGACCATAAGAGTGGCGATCATGGGAATCTGGCGGAGAGCAGGATTGGTGGGATAAACCGGATTGTTTGTGGCAGCTCCGGTCAGATCATTCTGTGGTGGACAACTTCCTCTTTTGACCACCCTAGGAAGTCCTAGTGATTTGGTTTGGACCACAGAATCCAATTAATTTGAGTTTGCCGGCCAATGATCGGTCATATCCCTTTAGCGTCGGCGCACAACGAAACTTTACATCGTCGCGAATTGTTCCGTACGTGCTCGCTTCGCGCTCGTCTCGCGCTCATCTCGTGCCAGCCAAGCGACACGCCCCAGTGTTCCTAACGTCGGCATCCAATTTGCGTACGCAACGGCGGTGGAGATCCTCAGTTGAGCCTCGACGAGAAGAGCATCAGAAGGCTTGCGGTGCATCGACCTATGAAGCTAATGATTGGTGTAGCTGGGGCCGTAGAAGTGTGGCCGAGGCTCAATCTGCGCTTTGGACTGTAACCCGACTGACAAACTTGAACAAATTGGCAGGGCAACATCCGGTATAATGGGTTTTCTCGACCAGAAACGATAACTTAGCAACATGTTTTGATAGCATAATAAAGTCAATAACAGGCGGAAGCTCTTAGCAAAGCTTGTGTTTAGACGCTTACCAGTATGCTTAATTACAACGGAAAGAAGCGAATGTATTGGCATCTCAACTGCTTCGCATAAATATTGACGAGCCAGCCTGCCTCCTACCCTAGAGATGACAGATAGGTTAGAGGCTACCTGGCACCCCGCCTTTATACGGTGACATAACGGGTATATCATAACTCCCCGACCGGGGTTCCGCCACTTGGATAATACGCACTTCGTCTTACAGGTTATACATGTTTTTCGTTGGAAATCAATCCGAAACCCTATTTCAAGGTAGTAAAATCCGGGTTGCTGGTAATCATGGGGCGCACTAATAGTGCAACTATTAGTCTGGACCCTTGCACTGAACTACCCGTTCAGTTTGGGCAAGCTACACTGAACCACCAGTGTGGTGTGAGAAACGCACACTACACTAATAGTGCGGCACTAATAGTGTAAACCACAGTGTGCACTAATAGTCCTCTTAATGGTCCACACTATTAGGAGCGCTGTCAGGGAGATCCGCACGAAAATCGAGAAATTCGACCACCTACCCTAAAACACGTATAACATAGATGAAAAGGGATTTCTCTTCGATATGATCATTCGAACAAAGAGAGAATTTCCTCTCAGTATCAAAAAGCAAGGCAAATTGCTCGGGGCATAGCAAAATGGCAATCAATCCTCGATTACGTTCCAGGCGTGCGTCAGCCAAGAGATGACATCGCTGCCCCCATTCCTCATCCACCAAGGCAAGCTAGGACAAATCCTGGACTTTTGGTTCGCAAAATACTGACCCAGATCATCAATAAGTACTTTTACCACGCCAGGAATGAGGTGGACGAATCACAATCTTGGAAAAGAGCAGCTCATCGGTACGTCCGACCTGTTTACCAAGGCGAAAGCTCGAAACGGTCGTACTTATCGCCTTCTAACTATCAATAACCACTTAACCGTGTGAATAGGGACATTATGGAGTGGTATGATCGGCACCGGATGATCGTTGCGGTGTTTCCCCCTCATTCCATGCATCGGCTGCAGCCCTTGATGTATCGCTATTCAGCCTCTCTCAACGGCGAATACACACCAGCTTATCCAGCATACAGCAAAAACACTACGCTTTATTGGCTTATTGAAACGCGAGCTCTAGACTGCATTTTGGAACGCGTTTAAGGAATTAGTCGACAAATCGTCTATCGATGCTGGCCGCAACAGCCGAAAGCTGAGCAGCACTCTCGAAAGCCCTCAATCTGAGTTTGAACTGCTTTGATATGAGAGCCAAAGTCTGCACAGGACAGATAGCCACAAGCAGCTGCGCATACAGGGTGGTAAGGCTCCAAAAGATGATCTCTTAGGCTGTTGATGCGTTTTTGCGTGTCCCTACGCACACTGGAGCGTTGGGCACGGCACCAAGCATCAAGGACACCGGCTGCCGCACGCACAGCCATGTGAACAGGCAGCCGTGTGAACAGGCAGCCGTGTGAAACAGGCAGCCGTGTGAAACAGGCAGCCGTGTGAACAGGCATCGGTATGTGGCTGCCTTGTAAACCGGCCGGATCACCTAGATAGTCCGACCTGGCTGCCTCCTACATAAGGATGAGGCAGTCATAGCTTAGTTGGAGAGACATCGATCCCACTTCATCTCATCCATATGCAAAATGCATCAGCTGTGCAAATCCTAGTGCAGATGGGTGTTTAGCTCTGCAAAAGTGGCTCAAGCTCGCCTCAAAATGATTGTGACAGGACCGCAAAAGAAATAGAAGGCTTTGAAGAAGAAGGCTGAAAAGTTTCAGCGATAGCGGAAGGCGGCGGAGCAAAATCTCTCTCTCTAAAGAAGAGGAAGCAAAGAGAGGCGGGAAAGGGGAGAAAACGACAGATAACGGAAGCCAGAACGTAAAATAAGGAGATAAATCGGCATTCTAGATAAGAGTCCAAGCTTTTAAATATGAAAATGCCACTCGAAATGCAGAATGAGCGGCGGGTGGCTTCTGAGGGTCGCGAGAGGAATCAGGATGTTCACGCCGCAAAAATCGTCACGCTTCAACTCATACACGAGCGGACGGTAGCATCGCAGGCACCAAACCCACTAGAATACGACACAAATGACAAGGCAAAGATCAGTTCAAACCGTATAGCTTGTCCGAAAAGGCCCTCTTTCGCTGTTGAGAGTGAGCGGGAGATGGTGTGTCACACA